AATGGAAAACTCATGTGTGTTGTACAAAGTACAACAGCTCGAGTAACGGAGGGTTAAGTCAATCACAAGTCCGATACCAGCCAACTACTCCCCAAGATATTCATCGTTGCAAACCAACACCTTCATATTCACTCATAAGCTCATAACTTCCTCTGCATACCGAGTAGCAAAACCTACTTCCTTTTTAAGTTCACTCACCAATCTGCAGTAAGCAGACAAATTTGACAAATTTCATAGAAGTTATGGACAACTCAGATGAGTTTAACGATCTTCAAATAGCTTCAGTTGAGTTTTTATAAATTACACTAAACATCTTATGTTCCTCATCGTAATCGACAAATTCCGGTTGGGTGCAATTAACACCGAACCGTGGGCTGCTTTGGCAGCCTATCCCCATGGAACATCTCAACGACTTCGATTTGGCTGATGATGTTGCTCTACTAGCACAACGGCGCTCTGATATGCAGAGTAAGCTCAATGACCTAGCCGAACGCTCCTCTGCGGCGGGTCTCACCATCAACGTCAACAAGACCAAATCGTTGGATATCAACACGGGCAACCCTTCCAACTTTACGGTAGCGGGGCAAGCAGTGGAGAAGGTCGAAAGTTTCCAATATCTTGGCAGCCAAATAGCGTCGCACGGCGGGACCAAGAGCGACATAGGTGCACGAATCAAGAAGGCTAGGGCTGCCTTTGCGAGTTTAAGAAACATATGGAGATCAAACTAGATAGGTCAACGCACCAAAATCCGAATTTTCAACTCGAACGGGAAATCTGTGTTGTTATATGCCAGCGAGACGTGGTGTGTATCAGCGGAGAACACTCAGAAGCTGCAGGCCTGCGGTATGTAATACGTGCCTGGTGGCCTCACAACTGGATATCGAATCCCTTAACGAACTTAACTAAGCATCTCAAAACTGTTCTCCAAACATCATAGAAGTTCAGATAACTTCAGAGAAGTTTTGCGAACTTCAGCTAAGAAATGCCCTATGCGTTTTGAAGAAATCTGCCTTACTTCAGAGTGGGTTTACAAACATTCGAGTACTCTTACCTATTTCCTGAAAATATCAGAGAGGTTATGCTTACTGCAGAGATTTTAACTTCAGGCCACGTGGTGTGAAATGTAAGGAGACCCGCTGTTCTGGTTAAGTAACACATCACCGCAACCTGAAGATCACTAGATTTAACTTGAAGCTCGCAAAAATCTGAGAAGTTCTCAGAAATGTTTGACGTTCGAAGAATTTATCTGAAGTTTTCTGAACTTCTGGTGAATTTCTTTGAACTTCTAGCGAGTTCTCTGAACTTCTAGCGAGTTATCTGAATTTTTTGTTAAGTTCTCTGAACTTCAAGCGAATTTTAATTTACAGAATTTTCTAGGAAAAATTCGCATAATTTCGGAACAAATGCTCACCGAACTTCCGACGAAAAGTTTACAGAGCTTCCCTGAACTTCAGAGTACTTAAAAAAATCCTTAAGGTTCACAGAACTTCCTTGAAGATCACAGAGCTTCATTAAAGTTCCCTGAAGTTCGATGAAAAGTTCAGAGAGCTTCCGACAAGAAGTTAAGAGAATTTCCTACAAGAGATTCAGAGAGCTTCAGACGAGAGATACAGAGTGTATGCTCTGGTTCAGAGAACTTCTGTACAACGTTATGATCCGTATTCCAGGACATTTTTCAGAATGGAACACATTTTGTTAATACAACTTCTTATCTCACTTGATTTGATATGGTCCCGTATAATAAACAAAATATTCACAGAACTTTCTAATCTAATCTAATCTTATCTAACACCAACACAGCCAGTTCTTGAAAGCATCCTGAAAAATGATGGGTATACCTCCATAATTTTTCTTGTCTATTTGATATATGTTTCACATCCAAGATGCGTCACATATATCAAAACGGCCAGGCCTACTGTGCAGCATTTAAGGGGCAAGATGATTCAGAAAACATCGGGCCTGTTTAAATCAAAGATTTGAACACGATGTTTCAGTATCCAATAAATGGATGAAACGTGGACATCTCGTACCGTACGTTCCGATTTTGGTAATTATATGATTGGTTGGTCGTTGGAAGCATCAAAGCTAGAAAGGTTAAGTGATGCTCCATTTTCTTCTGACGGTTGGGGCATGAGCACTAACTCTTGTCCTAGCCTTTTTATGACTTATGGCTATAGCGCCATAGCATGATGCTTAGACTGATGCAAAATTTGAAATTTTCGCTCCACAGTGCTCAAACGGTTTCAAATCAGGTCCTGATTAGCCTCCCAAAATTTAAACTCATTTGGAAAGAAACTGACTTGGCACAAACTATTCGAAGTTTGTATGGAAATTACTATGGGAAAACCAAACTTTTTGTTCATTGTCTTCTACCAATTTTTCATATTGCTTTTTCGAAAATTTCTATAACTATTCTTACGGGAAATTTTATAAGCTACAACTTTGCGGAATATTGCTTTTCAGTCAAATGTCTAATTATTATTAATATAATCTTATGGCATGATCAAGCAGCTGTTCTGTGGGCAACACTGTATTCTGCAGTGTGACATAGTAGCCATGATATTTGTGCTCTATTCTTCGCACCAGAAACACCAATGTTGCCTGCTGAACAGTTGAATGAGCATAATCATAAGACATCAGTGACTTGAATCATTAATAACTTTTGTTCCTTACATTTGATTGAAAAATGGTTTTCAACTAAGTTGTAGCTGAGAAAATTTGCTACAATCATTGCTATCATTTTTAAAAGTATAGTGATGTGGTGAATTGTTAGATGGATATGAACAAAAACATAAGTTTTCCCATAGTAATTCCCATATAAACTTGAAATGGTTTGTGCCAATTCAGTTTTTTACTAAAGTAGTTCAAATTTGGGGAGGCTAAGCAGGACCCAATTTGGAACCGTTTAAGCACTGTGGAGCGAAAATTTCAAATTTTGCATCAGTCTAATGATGCTACTGGTACTTTCATGCTCCACCTTTCTTGCTTGAATCAGGATGATATCCACTTGGTACTATTCAACAGAATTAACATGTTGCCTCTCCTTGAATACATCCTGATTCCTGGTGATTCCTTTTCTTCAGGGAGAATTTCCTGTAGTCCTGTATCTGTTATCTTTTTGTAATTTTCACATTTTGATCATCCATTTCAGGTTCAGCTAATATGAAATATCACTAAAAGAGTCCACAGGATCACCCCTAGTGGTTCGCTTCTCCGTGACGTCGTCGCAAACGAAAGAACGTCGGGGGTTCACTGGAGGAGTTTGTTTTCGGAGCTGCTGCCCTCTGAAGCTCTGAAAAAACTTCATGATACGGGTTTTGTTCAGAGTCACGGAAAGACAGCCCCAAACTTGAATAACTTTGGAAATCACTATCCGATTGTGTTTTTTAACTGTTTTATAAATATGCCGAAATCGTTTCTCCGAAAAAATCACAGCAAAGAAAATGCACGTCAAACTTGATCAAAGGCAGAGCCTACTCCTCAAAACGAAATATTCACAGAGCTTTCATCGAAAAATTCACCTTCATTAAATTTCCCTAAAGTTCACAGAAATCCATTAAAGCTCCCTGAAGTTCCGATGAGAAGTTTAGGGAACTTTCAACAAGAATTTCAGAAATTTTCTAACAAAAAGTTCAGAGAACTTCCGACAAGAAGTTCACTTGAAGTTTCTATGAAAAGTTTAGAGAACTTCCGACGAGTGGTTCAGAACACTTTCGAAGAGATCTGTGATCTTCAAGGAAGTTCAGGGAATTTTCGACGAGAAGCTCATTGAACTTCTAATGAGAGGTGCAGAGAACTCTCAACAAAAAGTTCACAGAACTTTAAATTTCCTACGAAAAGTTTAGAAAACTTCCGACGAAAGGGTCACAGAACTTCCGATAAGAAGTTCAAAGAACTTTTGATGAAAATTTTACAGAACACAGAACACACAAATTCAGAGAACTTCTGATAAGAACTTCACAATATTTCCGACAAGAAGTTTATGGAACTTCCTAGGAGAAATTCAAAGAGTTTCTGACGATAAATTTCGAGAACTTCCTACTAGAAACTCACAGTATGTCCGACGAGAAGAGCAGCATAATGAAACGCATAATCCATCCCGAATAGGCAACAAGTTTCTTGGCAAACATGGAACATGAAATAAGGGAAATAGTACGTTGCGCAAAAGTTCGTTGTGAGATTTAATATTCTTGCCGACATTTTCAATCACTTGCTGCTCCCTCCCGAATATGATGCGTATAACATTTCCGAATTTTTTTGCTGTAGCCGATCGGATTGTCCAGGAAGCTGATGAAAACAACGCAATCCGCGGAAGAACGTTCCGATTGGGATCAAGCCGCAACAAACTGCGGTCGGAACAGCAGCAGCTAATCGGATTCCGCAAACATAAACAGGAAAATTACATCCGAGATTTTGTCTATTACGCCGAAATCGGCGTATTAAATTTAAATTCGAGATTAAAATTGAGGATAATACGGCACGGTGTTTAGCAAAATTGAGGATATTTTTAGATTGGCGTATTATCCGCGATGGAGCTTATCGCTATTTGTGTATATAGTTAATAAAGTTAATGTCTCTAATGTCGGCCTAAGTGTCCCTTATATTGCGCCCATGCCATCAATTTCGAAGGAAGGAATTTTTTGCCAATTTTTCACTAGCATTCAAAAATATCGATTGTATTGTCCAGATGACGATGGTCCAAAGGGATCCAACATTATAGCCATTTTCGCTAGATTTTAAATTTAATCTAGGAATGGAATTCTATGGCCTATGAATCTAAAGATTTTGCCCATGGATAACAATCACATTTTCTTAGAACAATGTGATATTTTTGGATGCTAGTGAAAAATTGTCAAACAAATGCTTTCCTTCGAAATTTAGGGGCACTTAGGCCGTTATTAGGGACATTAACGCTATTCCCGAATTTGTAAACTATTCAAAACGTATCTCCTTCCATGGTTTTAAATCGTGTTTTTTCCATTTCTTTTCTCTATTTTCAGACCACCATCTTCTAAATTTACGAACTAAGCCAACTTTTCAAAACAGATGACAGAATTCCGGCCCCCAGCCGAGCCTCGTTGAACGGATCCGTACGTCATCATCGATGCATCGCGCGTGTTCCCATTTTCCCAATCGGTTGTTCCGGGTGCAGTAGTGGTACCTGTTGTCATTGCGAGCCGATTCAATCAACAACGAGACAATGCAGTACACACGACACAACGTGCAACGATGAGAAACGTCCACTTTGCAAAAGAGAAAAGAGAAAGGGAGTCAACTGATTGGGAATCACCGGACACCGAACCAGACGACCATCGCGACCAGGAGAAATGCCGTGAGAGAAAGAAAGAAAGCAAGAATGTATCGAAGACGTACACAAAGAAGCACAGCAACAAAAACATGAATTAACTTTGTGAATGCAAAAAACGTAAACACCAGTTTTGGATTGATGAGGAGACATTCCATACAAACCGTTATAAGAAGCGAAGAAAGCAACAAAAAAAAAATCCAGAAAGTTGTGCAGTAGGGTATATGTGTTATTTTTTTAAATAGCAGCGAAAGATTGTCCAAGGTGCTTTCGATGTGAAGAAAAGAGTGCCAAATCTTCCCTTGCAGTAGCCCTTCACCCCTCCCCCCAAACACTACCATCACCACTGAAATACCGGAATACTGGTCCAGAGTGGTGACTTCACCGATGATGGTAGTTTCGATGTCGAGCAGTAGTGGCCGTAGAAATACGAGAACACAAGTGGTAGACTGGTTCTAAAATTCAACATAATTCAAAAATCGTAGAAGAAGGTTTAAATTTTAAATAATTGCAAAGATAGACCATCATAAAAGTCAAACAACATTATTGAGAGTTTGGACCAGTCTACTCTATAACTGCATGATCAAAAGTGGTCAGTCAACTTGTCAACCCCACCGAAAATTGGTAGGGGGCAAGTGGTGTACGAATCCGTGTCATGTACTGGAAAGTAGCTCATATGAATCTGAGATGGTAGTGGTGGTGAGGGGTAAGAACAGCAACGCATATACAAGGGGATGCACTTACGATGCAGTTAGTCAGTTTTTTACCTATATTTATAAGCAATCAACCCAAAATTGCAGTTTTACACAACACCACAAGTTACCAAGTATTTTCGTTCGTCTGTTTCATTTCTTTTTTTTTTACTGTATAGAATTTATATTTAGATTTAATGTGTATTTTTTTTCAAGAAAAAGAATGGAAAATACAAGCAAATAAAAAAGCAAAACGCGAATAGCGAGTGTCACGCTAAAATTGACAGTATATAAAGATGAAAAGAAAAATTCTTCCACGACCGTTTAGAGATTAAGGAAGTTCAGCTGTAGTATTTAAGAGGAGACGTTTCTTAGAGATGCTTTGTTAGAATGTGTCAAACTAGTCTACACAATTAAATAAAAAAAACGTTAGGTGTGATGAGAAGAGAAAGAGAACATGCTTCGAAAATACCTTTATTTCAATGTACTGTAAATGTGTTTAGTATTTAATGACAGCTTTCTTAGTATTATTAAGTAAGTAAACTATTTATGTATAGAAAAAAATACGTTCTATGTGTTTTATTACTTTTGAAAGAAAGCCCTCGTATAATGCAATCTTACAATCTGAATTTGATCTTATGTAGACATTTGAGGTAGGGCCCAGGCAACCAGAATGCACGTATATTGAAAGTGGTTTCTGTGATATGCAAACATATAAGAAAATAACTTTTTAATAAATTCAGACATGAAAAGAGCATAACTGACAACCTAAATATAGTATTGACGAGCCTGGCATAAGAGGTGAAATGCCAAAAATAATACATAAAAAAACTATGCTACGAATAACGAACTAATACATAATTAAGTTATTATAATAACTGACGGATAACAGGCGTTTTTTAAACCGAAATACCATTTTTTATTTATTTTAAAGGTCTTCCAATACCAATCCAATATCTTTTTTAAGTGCTTTTGTCTAAAAACTGAAAGATCACATTTTGTCATTTCATTTTTATTTGTAATTTTATAAAATATTTCGATAAATGAATAATATCAAAAGCTGGTATAAAACCTTAAAAGCATACCAAAAATAATCCAACTAACAATTTTCGCTTTACTCATTTAATTTACACAGCCTCAAGCTGTATTCAAATATTATATGATATGAGGAAACCTTTACTCAACTTCTATACAAGTAAATCTGGCGAACTTAGTCAGCAGCTTATGGCTGTTGGGACGATTGGGGACAAGCTCTCATTGCATATCCATTTACGCTTCTATACAGCTTTTATCCTGCTGTTTAGTTGTGTGTGAACTTGAAAGGCGCTTATTCAACCTTTTCCCGGTAATCCAATAATCAATACACGGCTATCTCTTGAAGCCGGGTTACATATTGTTTACGTTTTTTGTTGGAGGAATGTATTAAATTTATTTTCCTGCGAATTAAATTAATCTAAATTAGTTATTAAAGCACACCACGCATTTATTTACCCTATTCCGGAACCTGGAATCGAACTCCAGACGACAGTAACAGACGTCTAAATTTACATTGCAAATGCTATGCAATATTAGACGACTCATACGTTGTACTCGTATACAACATTTATTCGTTATAAGTCTGGTAACACAGGAGAAATCTTATCAGAATCAGTATTCTTTCGGTGATACGACTTATTTTACTTAATTTTGGGTCGTTGAATTCGAAGCTGACATCAGATTTCGTTAATGAGAACAATTCCGTATCATAAAAATGATTATATGTGAAACACCGACAAACCGACATGAATGACCAAAGCAAAAACAATAAAATTTCTGACCAAAGCACACTACTGACATCTGGTTCCATGTTCGTGGGAAATATTCAGCTAAGCCATGAACCCGCATGCAAAAGTTATGAATTGGTTCGTGCCTGATCTATTCTGGACAAATTATTTTTATCAATAAATCCTATGGTTTTGACAGTTCGGATCACTGCACCTTTAAATCGACCGTTTACGATTTTCGGGCATAAGACAGAATTAAGTGTCATGTCGGTTTGTCGGTGTGTGAAATACTGATGATGATTGCCTACATTTAGGCGTATTTTGAACTAATTCGCAACAAAATATGCAGTGTTTTGGTAAAACATAACTTTTTTTTAATGTTAACACCTGGTTCTTCTTTAGCGAACACAAATCCACAGAAAAACAGACATAACACTGGCAATTTGTTCATCGAACACGTATTTAATGGTAAATCAGTCGATAACCCTTGCGTTTGACGTTTACACACTACCGCCATCTGTTCAGCGTACTACCCATCACAGTATACTCAACAGATGTTTGAAAGATATTCCATGTGTTATGTATTTTTGTCTGTGACAAATCTATTACCTTGTGGAGCCCATGCACCACTCACTTTAGAGCAACATCAGGTTCACATCGTTAGTAAAGTTACTTTTCATTAATATATTGAGTATATTTTTGGACTAGCTTGAAGCTCATTATAATTAGATGGTGGATAAAATATAAAACATCCAAAATAATGCTGTTAAAATAGATTTCGATACATATTAAAGCATGTAACCAAGGGTTCCATTCTCAGCTCATTGCGTAATGGAAATCTTCACTTTTTGAATTATTTATCTTTTCTGGCCATTTAGCGTACAATATGGTTTATAAGCTATTAAGGTAATAGATATTGATTAAAAACTCACCTTTTTTTATGAAATATTGGTAGTGATGTGATGTCTATTTTAAGTTCATTTTTGTAGTGAGCGGTGAAGTGAACTCTTGATCGTTGTAGGGGTCTCCATTCACCGGTCATATGGATGCAAACAAAAAAAAAATAGGCGGTAAACAGTGAAATAAAAATGCCGATGGTTAAATATGATCAGCAGCCATCTTAAACGAGTGAATTAATCGGTTAAACGCATGCTTAGAACTAATTTTGGGAACTTTTTCAACAAATTCTAATAAAATGACCGGTGAATTGAAGTTAAACGGTGAACGGGTACCACACGGTAGAAATGCTAACTTCTTAATATTGTATTGCATAAAAACCTGCATGACCAACTTCACCCCAGCATTGAAAAATTACATTTTTAATCTAATTTTAAATATAAAAATAAGCCCAACATGCAATTTTAATACTAAATTCGTAAATTAGAAAGCATTTGCTATTAAAGGTTTCAGAGGCATTTGTTTGTGTCCCAAACAAATGGTTGGAAAAATATTCAGGTTTATCAGTAAAAAGTGATCAACTTCCCCCAATTTTGCGCTATTGTGCTAATATTCAATGTCCGACGTCTTGAATATTTATTTTCATTCCATATTCTTGAAAATTTCTCCAAGTTTGATTGTATTTGGTCCAAGATTTAAAAATAAAATGTGTAAGATCAAAATCAGTAGAAATTATCCATGTTCCAGAACCTTAAAAAAAGAATTCATGTCTTGTTAGTCTACTACCGAATTCTTATTTCCAATGAATTAAAGTAAATAACGAGGAAGATAAAGTTGTTTGTATTATACAATGTTTTTAAATTTCTGAGAAGGTTCAGTAGCTTACTTCAATGTATTATATTCTTAAAAATTTGCTTGATTAGATAGTTGGAAAATTCCCTGAAAATTTCAGGTTTTCCAGCAAAAATAAAATTCCCTGAAGATCCCTGGTTTACCATGTAGTAGACACATTGTTGCATCATTTGTGCATAGGAAATTATTTCCTGGATAAAAAAAATCAACATTGATCGATGAGCGTTTTGTAATTGTAATTTTTCAGTGTACAGACTGTGCCAATCACTAAGTTGACCTATGTGGTTGGCACAGTCCAACCCCTTAGTCTGTACACCTACCGTCCTTCCCGTTGCACTCGTCAGCTCGTGCGATACTCTAGACAAACATGGGTGGTCGTATCTGGGTCCTCCCCTGGGTAGGCTCATGGCTTTTGTGCCAGTAAACATCCGAATCGCTCCCTGAAACAAAATTTAGTGGCCAAAAAGCGAGCACGATTACTATGCGAACGAGTTTTGACGAAATGTGGTGGCTGTATTTTAAAGGATAACGAAACATATGTCAAAAAATGGCTCTTCTTTCATCGAACAACTCCTCACCGGGAAGCGATATGATTAAATTCAATCTTCTGAAAAATCTCCCAGATATCGCTAAAAGACGCTTGCTAGATTTATTCAATTCCTTGCTAGAAAACAACATTGTACCGCCTGAATGGAGACAGGTCAAAGTAATAGCCATTAAAAAACCTGGCAAATCAGCGTCTGACCATAACTCATACCGTCCGATTGCTATGCTTTCGTGCATTAGGAAATTGTTGGAGAAAATGATCCTTCGGAGACTCGATCAGTGAGTCGAAACAAATAACTTGCTATCAAATACACAGTTTGTGTTCCGCAAGAGCAAAGGAACAAACGATTGTCTAGCGCTGCTTTCCACAGATATTCAACTGGCCTTTGAACACAAGGAGCAATTGGCTTCAGTATTCTTGGACATTAAGGGGGCTTTTGATTCAGTTTCCATTGAAATTCTGTCAGACAATCTGCACAGATGTGGACTTTCTAGAATTTTAAATAATTTCTTGTACAATTTGTTGACAGAAAAGCAAATGAACTTTTCCCTTGGACAACTGACAACTTCCAGAATTAGCTACATGGGCCTGCCCCAAGGCTCATGTCTCAGCCCTCTTCTTTATAACTTTTACGTCAAAGATATCGACAACTGTTTGGCATAACAATGCACGCTAAGACAACTTGCAGATGACGGTGTGGTTTCCAGTAAGAGGTCCACATGCCGTGGACTTGCAAGGACCATTGCAAAATTCCTTAGATAACTTGTCTTCTTGGGCTATGAATCTAGGGATCGAATTCTCGCCGCAGAAAACTGAACTGGTAGTGTTTACCCGAAAGCGGTACCCAGCCCAAATGCAGCTTAATCTTTTGGGCAGAAACATTACCCAATCATTGTCTTTTAAGTACCTTGGGGTCTGGTTTGATTCAAAGTGCACTTGGAATGCCCATATTACGTATTTGAAGCAAAAATGTCAGCAGAGGATCAACTTTCTCCGTTCAATTTGCGGCACATGGTGGGGTGCTCATCCGGGAGACCTCATAACGCTTTATAAAACAACTATTCTCTCTGTTCTAGAGTACGGCTCTTTCTGCTTTCTCTCGGCAAGAAAAAGTCACCTAATAAAATTGGAACGAATTCAATATCGTTGTCTGAGTATTGCTCTAGGCTGTATGCACTCAACGCATAACATGAGTCTCGAGGTTCTGGCAGGAGTAACACCCCTCCAGAACCGTTTCTGGGAGCTCTCTCTCAGAATACTAATCAAATGCGGAGTGACGAACACACTTATAATTGCTAATGTTGAAGAAATTCTTGGGCTGAACACACAATCTCGATTTATGAGAATCTACCACCACTACATATCATCAGATATGTGTCTTCCTTGTTATACTCCAGATCGTGTTCACTTCACCAATCGCAGTTCCTCAATTGAATATGATCTGACCATGAAACAAGCAACTCATGGGATTCCCGATCAACTTCGACCTATTATTATTCCGCGTATTTTTACTGAAAAGTACCAACAAGTCAATTGCATGAAAAGATATTTCTCAATGGATCCACTGGCTTCGGTGTCTTCAATGAAAACTCTAGCGCCTTCCGCAAACTTCAGGAACCTTGTTCCGTTTTTGTTGCTGAGCTGGCAGCAATCAACTTCGCATTGGGGATGATTTCCAACATGCCCGCAGACCATTACTTCATCTTCACGGATAGTCTCAGTTCGATTGAGGGTATTCGGTCGATGAAACAAGGTAGGCACTCATCTTATTTCCTTTCAAAGGTAAGGGAGCAGATGTGTGTGCTGGTCGAAAGATCATATATGATTACCTTTGTATGGGTCCCCTCACATTGCTCAATCCCAGGCAATGAGAAGGCGGACTCTCTCGCAAAGGTGGGCGCGCAGGAAGGCGAATTGTATGACAGGCAAATTTCACACGATGAATTTTACCATTTAGTGCGTCAGAGTACCTTTTCGAGTTGGCAAACCGATTGGGACAATGGAAATCTTGGACGGTGGTTACATTCAATTATTCCTAATGTTTCTTCGAGAGCGTGGTTTAAAGGCTTGGGCTTAAGTCGTGACTTATTCGCGTGATGAGTAGACTTATGTCCAACCACTACTCGCTAGATGCTCATCTCAATAGAATAAACCTCGTGGACAGCAACATCTGTCGGTGTGGAAACGGTTACGATGACATCGAACACGCAGTTTGGCAATGTACGGATAATGACGCCGCCAGAGAGCGACTTTTGAATACCCTCGAGGCCCAAGGAAGACAACCCTATGTTCCTATCAGAGACGTGTTGGCAACCCGTGATCTCTGCTATATGCAGTCCGTTTATGTTTTTCTTCAAATGTCTAGTATAAGAATTTAATTCCTTTTGTCTTTTGTCTCTCTTTATTAGTTTTTGTTTGTCTTGTCCCCCCGTCTCGATGAGTCTCATCGTCGCCCACTGGTCACCCACCATAGCCGGTCGAACTCCGGACGAAGCTAGAACAGCACTACCGTTCATACTGGCGACAACGCTCTGATGAGACAACGAAACCCTACCCCAAGCTCCTCCCCTGATCCTATCCTTCGAAAATGTACCCTTCTAACCTCGAGTAAGCCGCGAGTAATCGGCCCAACTCCTACTAGACATAGAATTAAGTGAATTTTGTTACAAACAGTGAACAATGAATTATCGGCTCCGTAAAGCTAACGCGATTGAGCCTTCCAAATAAACGAACTAGATAAAAAAAAATATGTCAAAATGAATTATAAACAAATCCCCGGACAAAAAATTTACCTGGCTACTGGTCGTGGGGACGTCCCTTGCTGATAAGTTTGCTCGGAAACTAATGATTTGGCAAGGAATCTGCAGTTGTGACCTTAAAACCAATGTTTTCATCACATCTCACACAATGACGTCGAAGGTTTACATTAAAGAGTGTCTGAAAAAGCGGATTTTACCCTTCATTCGGAAACACAAGACCAACGTTATGTTTTGGCCGGATCTAACCAGCTGCCACTACTCTAGGGAGGTACTAGAATGGTATGCTGCAAACAATGTTAATTTCGTAGCCAAAGAGATTAATCCTCCGAATTGCTCTGAGTTCAGACCGATCGAAACATATTGGGGGTCAAGCGAAAACTTCGAGGATGCGGTAAAGAAGTGACAAATGCACAACAAATGCGTTTAAAGTGGAATAAGTTAGCCGGTGCAGTGTCACCAGCGACTGTGCAGATCATGATGGCATCGATCACAAGTAAAGTGCGACAGTTCGTTCGAAACGGTGAAATGGAATAACTTGTTATGTATCGTTCGAAAGCTGAATAAATACCCTTTTGTTTGACGTTTTGATCAACCGTGTATGATGTTTAATTCTTGAGTTATGATCACTTGAAGGCATCTAAATTTACTTTGAATCGGGCTTTACGGTAGTGGAATTAAATGTAAATTACTAATCCTTCGCTCTCTTTTTATACAGATATTCCACTAAGACGCCTACAATCATCAGGATTCTTTTTAAAACTTTTTTTTTCAAACAATTTGTATTATATTATTTGTAAAAAAAAAGTTTAAAAATTTATACTATAAGTTGATGCTTTACGATTTTGGTCAATTTTAAAGTGTCCATTGTGTCCAATATAAGAAAAGTTAGCATTACAATCGAGTGTATACGCAGGGGAAGGGAGGGGGTACATAGTCCGTTGTGGTTTCCGTTCATTAGGGACTACCATCGACTACAGTCCTGCTAATGACTTCATTTCTTTAAAATAAAAAATCGTTCAATGGAGAGTATTTAGCAACTTGAATTACAAATGTTATAAAATAGCAAAATCTTCCATTTAATTCAACTTAATTAATTTTGGTATCCATGACAGATACGTATTTTCATCAGTGTCATTCTCATTTGTAGTTTCATTTTTTTATATCTGTGATCTTGACATTTTTACCTAGGAGATGAGTACTTAAGGTTGTTAAATTTTGATAGGTTCTTTGGTGGGAATGACACTGATGAAGACTACACATTGTAGTCGAAATACGCATAAGTCATGGATACCAAAATTAATTAAGTGGAATTAAATGGAAGACAACCTTTTTTGCTGTTTTATTCAAGCATTCCGCTAACAACCCAATTTCATTACAAATGTTGCTTTTCTAGAAAAATGTACAACATACTTTTCCTTGTACATTCTTCCTAAAACACCAAACGATTTCCTACAGCAAATTATTTTTTGGGGCACCCTATTATCCAGCTTCCCGAACGTCGTTGTTAGCACAACGATTTATTTGCCCTAGAGTCGGTGTATAATGAGTCACGCCAAGAGAAAAACAGTTGAACTCGCATCACGGTTTTCGAAAGATTCCCTTTCTTTTCACTTGGCAACAGAGGACTTTTACATCAACTTCAAATGACTTCTAGCGAGAAAAAAAAATAGCGGCTGTAGTAAATCCTTATATCAGTAATTTTGTCAAATTATCTTATCAAAAAATAGTAGAAATTCTCATTACTGATCATTGCCAAACGTATCCCATGACAATTTAATGCTCAGTGCGTGATTATGATAATTTTTCCAATTATATTTTATATTTTATTGCATTACCTTTCGTGGACCTTTCATAGCATCGTAATGTTTGTTTTCTTTGCACGATAGGTAGCCGGTTTGACAGTTCAATAGGTAGACTTGGCTTCACTCTTGGCGTGACTCATTATACACCGACTCTAATTTGCCCCATCAAATCCAATGACGACCGGGATATTCGTCACTAGTTTTACTGGTTTATCTGGTAATTTGTCATCATGTGTATGTGTGTTCAAACAAAGTCGACGGGTGTGATGCAGATGAGTAGAAAGACAGTTGTCTTCCCGTTTGCTGATAAGCCAATGGACTAACCTCCTCAGGTTAGGTTAGGTTTTTCTTTATTAGGGAGGCTTTCAGCCTGGAGTTGGTTCGCCTCCGGCCTAACCTGCCCAACTAACATAACAGCATAAAATGCCGGGAATTTCTCATGATTTCTGTTCAAATCGGGAAAAACGTTTGTATCCTTAAGGTACAAGTTTTATTTCACATGTTGATTTACCTACATAATCTCACCCTTCTAATGATGGTAGGTGATTCGCTAAGATACACCTAATCAGTGGTAAAGGAAATGATTAACCAACAAAACTGCGTGCACTTATTCTGAAGAAGGGGAAGTTGATGATGGGTCGGGATGTTTTTGGTTTTTGTTCCAAAAGAAGTCGAATGAGAATTTTCCAATAAATTAAAACAACTGCCAAACGTTCGGCAAAGTAAATGTGATGATAGTGCACGCAAGTATATGAGTTCGAAAATGAGTAACAACGGTCAATGGCTAATTCAAGTCGACTACAATGAAGACCAGGATGGAATCGTTAGTCAAAAAATACGCGCAAAATGTTGGTCTGCGTCTCGAACAGTTTTCGTCGCTTATTTTCCTAAATATGTGTGAATACACGCGATTCTCCCGAATAATACGATGCCTTTTGATTGATTTGATAAGTTGAGTTTTGTCTAGATTCCGGGATTTTTTCGTACAAACTTACGTCGATATGAGAGAGTAGATCATACTGCAAGAAAAGATGCGTGGGTAAGTAAGCTGGTTATTCGTATAGATTGAGAAACATACCCATATAAGTAGTAGAAGAAGGACAGGAGGTAAACGGCCAGTTTGATCCATCCTTCACGTTGGCACTTGGCCAGAACGTCAGCGTTCATGATGCTGGTGGGGTCGTATAGGCCCGGTCCGGACATGACCGGTCGGTTAGAGTATCTGTAAACGATCATGTTGTAAATCTGTCGAATGCTATCTTCGTGCGACAAAAATTCACCCAACCCCTATCCCTCAACATAAACTAGCTAGTTAAATAGAAACAAACTAAATTTCTACCTGGGTGAATTTTGAAACATTCAAGATGACTCATCGCTTGGAATCTCTTGAATTGCTAAATGCCAAACAGATTATCGGGAAAATTCACACTTACCGCCATATATGATACGCAATCAAGGGAATGTTCATGGCCAGCGAGAACCATTCCCCGGCAAACAAGAACAGTAGGTTGAACAGCAGATGAAGCATATATTCCGGCAGCACCAGCTACAAGAGAACCAATTAGAGACAAATCTCGGGAAATTATCGCTACCATTCAAATACTCACCGGATTCAGCGAATTGCACTGATCGATGGGGTTCTTGTAGTCCGTTTTCAGCTCATCGAAGGCGATCACATGGAATATCGAGAAAAAGATCAGAAATGCATCGATGATCAGGGCCACAATGTAGCTGAATGCCGAGAAGTTGAAAGCCATCGTCTCTGCTTTGCCGTAAAAAAATCCTCCCTCCGCAAACCTTAAAAACACTAACGAAAGAAAGCCAAAGGTTAATTATAGTCTCTGTGATGGGGAATGGTATGCATATTATGCTAATTCACCTGTATAGTTTTAATCCTTTTTACGAGCAATTTTCCTCAATCAGTGAACGCCGCAATCAGCAGCCTTCAGTCAAAAAAGCCACCCTTCAAAAAGGAAAACAGCAGCAGATGACAGGACAGAAGTCGTCGTCGATCGAGCAGGAAGGCACGACGGCGCGACACACGCACTTGGCATACAAACGAGACGGGGGATCGCCCATTCGGGCCGCTGTCAAACATCGATCGTGTTTTGTTTTGATGCCTACACTCTCGGTCTCGATTCGGGTCGCGCATCAAAGAGTGGTTTTTTTTCGCCGTCGGGGTTCCGGTGTGAAATTTCAGTGGAAAATGGAAAACGGATGGGATGTGATGGTGGCCAAGATTGTGCGGAAGTACAATCTAACCGGGGTGATTAGGGAGTACCAGAGTGAAATCGATACGGTCAGGAAATTGGATGCCATTCCGGAGATCAAGTAAGGGAAATTACCGTTCATTTTTTTTTCTTGGTGGGTTGTCCACAGATAATGGGACAGATGAATTTTCTGTTCAGCTAAGCTGCAACCCTTTAAAAATCGGGTGATAATTAAGTTTTGAGGTTTACGATGTTCAGTCTTTAGATCTGGATGGTTTCAATGAAAATGTTGTTGATCAAAATTGTTAATGTAATCTTTAGGAAATAGAGAACATCAACATACCACAACAGAAATAGACGGCTAACGACGATTTTGTACAATATTAGCAAAAACATTATACCATGATACTATGTTTGAACATTCCCAGCTCTATCTAGAAATGTTGGTTACTTTTCTCGAGGTTCTAGAAGAAAAAATCTCAAAATAATGTTTTATTTAAAAGTTCGAGTGGTAGTAAATGTCATTTTAGCTGCTCGAATGAAGTGGTTAATTGAGTTTAAATACAGCAACCTATAGAAACAGAAATTAATCAATCGTATCGCAGCACCAAAGAACGTGCTTATTATTTGACTCTTAAGTTCTGCAGAAAACCATACAATTCAGTAGCTGCTGCTCCGTGATTGAGGGAAAGGATTTTTAGTTCGAACCCCGTTGTTACTAGAGGCCGAGTATACCTTTGAATCTGCACAGTTGTCACGGAAAGAACGTTTTTGTAAGTGGATCGAAAAGGTTCAGGCAAGTTTATTAAATAGTACTTTCCCGATTGTGTCAGCCTTGTTTGAAATTTAAGACTGACAGAAACGGGAAGCTTATAAATCGGGATTTTTTCCAATATTTTAACCTTCAAATGATTTTAAATCTAAGATGAACCATTATTGATCCACTATGAATGGACCTACTGATAAATGTTTATTATTCTTACAAAAAAAGGGTTCACCAAACGTCTTGAAAAGGCAAAAATGTTTGCGCACGGTTTGTTGAGCCGGTACGTGTTCAGTTTCCTTAAACTCTGCTTGGTTTCCAGCGCTGCAACTGGACCTCCATATCTCAGTATCGGCATAGATACACTAGACAGGAGCCGTCTCTTGCTTACTGTTTGGTCCCGAGTTGCTCGGCATGATTTTGGTTACCGCGTTGATGGCCTTAGCCACCTTCTCGCAGGCGTATTCTACGTGGATATTGAAGTTAGACGGTACCTTGTATTTCAACACATGCTTCGGCTTCGAGGTTCTGGCGTGCTCTCCAAGAGTAATTTCTGCCCGCTGCACTGCTATACGGCCCAAACGCAATGTGGACGGAAGCGGAACGGAAAGTTTGACAGTTGTCACAAATGACATCAAGATGCCTAATCGAAGTCGATTTGATTCGAACTAGTTTTCAATCCGACAAGTAGGCTTATTCAGATCGGGCTTTTCCGCTGCCGCTGCCGTTCCGCTTCCGCTGTCATTGCGTTTGGGCCTTTACTGACAGCACTTCTTGCGTTATGTAGTGGGCTATCTGCAGCTTCGCTCCTTGCATCAAGTTTCCAATCATGTCGATCGCCTCTATCGCCAACATTTCCACCTCTTACAGCGTCTCGCTTGTTACCGATCTCATCCCCTTTGAGGAGCTTCAGCGTTAGCACGGCGTTGTAAATCCCGTTCCAGAACGTTGGACCAAGGATGGGTTCTTGTGGAACTCTTACCGTGATCCTAATCGATCTCTATCCCATGTCTGTTTCTTAGACCAGAACCCGGTTCTGGAAGTAACTCCTTAGAATTATGCACACTTAGACCCAAGTTCCCAAGACCCAAGTTCTATGCAGCGCTTCGGCGATGACCTCCAAGTTGGCGCTGTTGAACGCATCCTTGAAGTCGATCGTTATCCACATCTGTTTGGATGCCTTCTCGGTTCTCTCGACCACTGTCCGAATTCCATCTACCTTTGCGCTCCCTTTTCAGAATTCGAACTACCTCTCCGACAATCCGTGCTCACTGTCCGTGCATTTCGTCAGCCTGTTTAGAATTATGCTCTCCAAGCGTTTTCCGAGTGTATCCAGCAGGTATATAGGCCTATACGATGCTGGATCTCCCGGCGGTTTCTCGTTGGTGGCTTCGACGTTATGTCCCTCTCCCTCTCCATACGGTGTAGGTGTGTCGTTGGACCGTGCTTCGGGAAAAGTCCTTGCACGATGACTTTCAGCTTTTTTGGGCACATTTCAGCGGGCATCGTTTGACCTCTGATCTTCGCCATCACGAGACGGGGGTTGGCATCAGCGTCTCGACATAGCTCCTTGAAACAGTTTTACTTGCTCTGCTTCATCTCTAGTTTATGTGTGGCCATGGCCGCTCGGAACCCTCCTCTACGTTCCTCTGTGTCTGTTTCTGTTCTTGCACATCCTCTGGCTCTGCGACAACTAGCGCGGAGGGTGCTATGTGCTTCGTGTCACCAGTAAGCTGGACGCCGTCTGTTGTTTGACTCCAGTTTCCTTGGCATGGACGGGTAATATGCTCTCACTAACGTTTCTGTCAACTCGCCCGTGTTCAGATCCGTGGGGCCGCTGTCCACACGAAGTGCTTCAACGGAAAGATCCTTGTCGAAATCCTTCGTCTTCCACTTCCGGTTGCAAGTTCTCGTCCTCCGGACTGCAGAAAGTGACGTCGATAATGGATTTAAGGCCATCTATTAGAAAAGTGGTGCCATTTGGCAGCCTAATTTCCAGCTTTGCCAGAGCTTCCAACAGATTGTGCCCTCTTGCGTTGGAACATCTGTTTCCCCACTCCACTGTCCAAGCATTGAAGTTTCCTCCGATGACTACCGGTTTTCGTCCGGTCAGCTCTTCGGTGAGTTCATCCAGCATCTGGTGGAACTGCTCCATTGTCCATCTACTGTGTTACCTGACTTATAACGAATATACGTTGTATACGAGTACTTCGAATACAACGTATAGTTCGTTCAATTTTACATGGCAAATGCTATGCAAAATTAGACGAGTCAGGTAACACAGTAGGGGGTGCGTAGCAAATGCATATGAAGATTCCGTTAATTTTGGTGATCACGTATCCTTCTTCTTGAATGGGGTATCTGCCCATAACTTGTATTGTAGCCATAGCAGCTCTATCCACCACCTAGTTACCGTTATCAGGGGGAACTCGATACAGTTCCGCAACGACTGCAACGTCGCACATTGTTTCCGTTGTCCACTACCACAACAGTTGTGCAGTGTCTCAATGATTGAGGTTTATTCGGGATACGTCCGTTACTGTTCTAACAAAATCATTAAGTATCATGAGGGAAATGCTTGAGAATTCTTTATTAAAAACCGAAAAGTTCAGTAAAATCTGCAGGCTGATGAAATCGAGTAAAAAAGCTGACAAAATCGGGGGTAAACAAAATCGGGAGCTGACAAAATCGGGAAAGCGCTGTATATTTTAAATTTGGATGAGATAATCCAAATTGAGTAACAATAATAATATTTGTTTTACGTTTTAAAGGCTGTTCTATCATCAGGATTATTTTGGCGTTTTATTATAAAGGTTGTCGTTTTCAAGATTATTATAAGAGTTGTCAGTTTAGTGATGTAAACGTGATTTTGGCGTTTTTAAAGCTAATCAAGCTAAGCGATTGTGATGCAACTTCAAGAACAACATGTGAAAAGGGCATACAAGCTTTTTGTAAACAAACCTTCTTAAGCCCTTTTCTCGCCACCCATACGACATCAACGCAAACCATTAACATTCCCGATGATGTTGTTGGTTTGCGTGGGCGACCCTCGGTTGACGAGAAAAGGGCTTACAAAGGTTTGTTTACAAAAAGCTTGTATGCCCTTCTCACATGTGACATTTTGGCGTATTCAAGACTATTTTGAGGGACGTTTTTGATAGCCAAGCGTGTTGAGACCATTTTACGATTTAAAGTCATATTCATATTCCGCGTTAAGATCATTGTGGTTTTGCAACTTGGCCCGGAGTCGTTGTTTTTACCATCTCATCGTTCTGGATTGCTTATCTTAATACTAATTTGTCGCTTTGATACTACTAATGCGTTATGATTACTCTTTCAGTTTTATGAGAAAATTATCGCATATTTTGGCAGATTTTGATCAGATTTGGCATTTTAGTGTGATTGTCTTTCGTTTTTAGCTAATAAAGCTAGTTTGATTTTTTTTTTTGCATAACAATATCTGCGGCCCGACAGCTAATGTAATCGCAATCGAAAAAAGTTGGAGAACCGCTGCGCCCCAATTTAGATACGGTAAAAATCACAAATTTTTTGTTCAAATTCTTATCCAAAAACTACCGAAAACAAAATCAGGAAAGTCTGTCGCTCGTGGATCAGAAAACTACCGGCCGTTCGCGGAAACGACGAGGAAAAGTCACACCTCTATCGGGAAAATGGAAACGAAATTTTCCGCAGCCGCAAAAGTCCGCACGTGGCGCTGGAAGCCTACAGCAAAGCCATCTTTGCAGCACCACGTGGTTCGCCTGCGCTAGCACTGGCACACGCCAACCGTGCAATCGTCCTAATGAGCCTGAAAAAGTACCGCGAAGCGTACCAGGACTGCCAGTTGGCGCTGGAGGGCGCTTATCCAGCGGAAAATCGACTGAGGGTCCTTTTCCGGCAAGCGGAATGTGCTCTGCAGGAGCGCGATCGGGAGGGTCTGGAAAAGGCTTTGGAGGAAATAGAGCGATTCTCGGAGGAACAGGATTTGGCCAGTTTTGAGATGGAACGATGTGAGTGTTTTCTTTTTGAAAAGGTTGTGTGATTTTACTTATATTGATTTCTAGATAAAAGGCTGCAGCAGCTAGCTGGGATCATAGCGATTTCAGAGATACCATTGGATTCGGACGACGTTGTACTAAACCTACCGGAGCTTGAAGAGTGAGTGAAATGTTTAATAGTTTTAAAGTGGAATCACAATTTATATTCTATACTAACATAGAAAATCTGATGCAGTGCATGGAAGGTTTATGGTCACGAAAGAGGAAATTAAGAAGGACGCACCGATCGTACAGGAAAAAGCAGTATCGTTTGTACCGGTTTACGATCCCCGAGGTCGCTCCGAAATACCTCCCTTTGACTGTCAGTACTGCGGGGAAGTCAATATCATCCCGTTTCCGTAAGTAGTGAAACTTCTTCTAACGTAACGCAAATTTTCATGATCACATTCTCAGTTGTTCAACGTGTGGTCGAGCATGCTACTGTAGTGTACAGTGTTGCGAAGAACACAGCCAGGTGCACCGCTACGAATGTCCAGGATATGGAAAGCACCTCTGGTATCTGATCGGGATTGCTCATCTGGGATTGCGCAGTTTTCTGGATGGTTTCGAGTCTAGTATAGAGAACCTTGATGATTTAAAAGAATGCACTGCGGAAAGGTTGTTTGAACATGTTGCCGATAAAGTTGAATCCCAGCATAAGGAGTATCCGTACGGGAGAGTTTTTCGATTGGTTTCCAATCTTGACAAAATGGCGGTCACGGACATGATCCAGTATACTTTGGTAAGCGAACTAATCCGTTTTTAGAATTAGGGTTTAAATCGATCTTAAACTATATTTTTGCAGACTGCTTACATGCTTTCGATATATTTAAGTGATTTCACGCAGTTCTTCAGCGATCTAGGTAACAGAACCGATGTGATGTCAAAGGAAGATTGGTCTTTGTACATTTCAGGTGTAATTTTACGACACATCGGGCAGTTGGTTTGCAACGGACACGCAGTCAGTGAGCTTCGGATATGCACTGCATCGGAAAACAATTGCCTGGAAGCAGATAGCTTCAATATTAAGGCCGGTTTCCTTCATCGATGCTTCGAAAGTTCCCGGGTGTTTACTGGAATATTTCCTCAGATTAGTATGTTCAATCATTCATGTGATCCGAACATACGGAACTGTTTCAGCAAAAATTCCCTCTCGGTTTATGCGACGCGGGATGTAGAAGCTGGAGGTGAGATTTTTAACTGCTATGGACCAAACTTTAAGCTGTTGTGCAAGGAGGATCGTAACTCGGCGTTAAAACAGCAGTACTGCTTCGAATGCAGGTGTAGTCGTTGTGTGTCTGGCAATGACGAGGCCTACGTGAGTGGTTTTGAGTGATCATATTTTTGGGAAAATCCAGCCACATTTTTCAATTTCAGGAATTGTATGAACGCTACAAATGTCCGTTCTCAAAATGTTCCAAGAAATTCATAGTGGCGCAGAATGTAGATCCTTTTGAAAAAGACATTAAATGTCCCAAGTGCAAACGAATCATCGATTGTTCGTGCTTTCAGATCATTGCCGGTGGAATGTCCAGTGAGACTGAAGGTGTGTAACCTATTCCTATCCCACGGATGCAGATAACCTAACGTATTTTTATTTATTGCAGCTTCATACGAAGACTTTGAAGATGCAATGAATGCTTACAACAAGTGTAAACTGATTTTATCGCAATATCACGAAACGAAGATAACTTTGGCTCATATGATCTTCGTTCAATATCTACCGTTCTCCGGTTTGGACGAAAGGTGTCTGAATGCGCTCAAGAAGCTAGCCTATGAGTTCGTTGAAATCCGCGAGCATCGCTTCGGAACTTTGAGTCCGGAGTATGTGGTGGCATGTTTCTATGTGGTGGATTTGCTCGTTATCGAATCGAAGTGTGAAGGAGAATTCCGCATGGATGCGGATTCTGCAGAAATTGTTAACAAGTTGAAAAAAGCGATTGAAATATTCGGCCATGGAACTAGAAGCAGGTTGATGAACTATATGAAAACTCATTTAGGATAGCCAACCCAACATTGACCATTCCGATGAAAAGTATATAGCTATGTACCTCTTTCCAGTGCTTAATTAAAAATAGTATAGTTCAGGGCTTCGACTAGTTGTACCAAATTAGTTCTAAAAATTGCACTGAAAGACATCTTTGCCGGTAGCTTACAGTTAATTTTAGCAATACTCAATCTTTAACGGCGCTTCTGAAATATGAGATCGCGGAAAAGTTATGACGTGGTCTTTTAGTTATGACATGGTCAGTTATTTAGAAATAGCAATAAAAATCATAGCCGATTTTAAGTAGTCAATAGAGTTTTGAAAGTAATGTTATACCTATAATCCGTATGACAATTTGTTGAACACCAAAAAACTTTGAAACTGTGCTACTTGGAGGCTTCAATTCTCTAATTCATTTTTTTTATGCCGAACCACCCTCAAGTTGACTTATTATTATGTAAATAAAATATTAGAGCTTCCTTTGGTTTGTTTTTTCCGTCGATCTTGTTTTCCGTGCTGAGTACCAATGCTACCGACGTGCCAGGAAGGCAGCTCTCACACCTGGACCCTACCTATCGACCCATCAACTCATGAACCGGGGACCAACGGCTTTACTTCCCATCCGAAGGAAGGCGTGATCAGAGATGTTATGCCTCAGAACATCCCGGCGGCGCCGACTGGGATTGAACCCAGGCCTGCTGTGGTGAGAGGTCATCACGCTTACCACTACACCACCGGCGCTGCTTAACCTACCATCATGAATATCAAGCGTGCTGTCATGTAGAGAAAATCGACTGCAGAAAAGCAAGAAATGTTTCGCATCAAACCGTCTGGAAATAAGAGAAACTAAAACGCATTCGGTTTCGTCAACAAACGGAGTAGTTCGACTCCGTGATCATCTACTGCACTTTCATGACCTGTCTAAGAAGATATCTCACTCCAGAAAAGTTCCACGCCAAATGACGAATCGGAAAAACTCGACCTTTTCCGATTTTCATAAAACTTTGCAACAATTATTCCAAGGAGAATTCAACTCGGCACATCCTAATTTGTGCCGAAAACTGGGTCAACCGTTGTGCCGAACGTGCCGAAGTGTGGCAATGAAGGTATCAATCTCAGTATTCCATGAGTTTGGCAACCCTGAAGTTATGACTTTTGAGATTATTTGTTTTCATTTTCAAGATAAAAACATTAAAAAGTTGTGAACATAAATTCTAAGATAAATTTCAATGTTCAACGAGCGCATTGTCGGCTTTAATGAAGTGACACTCGTGACAGATGCCAGAAGCTATCCATGCAGGAGAAGAAAGTTCTGTACCGTGCGTCATTCTGGCAGACGTTTGCCGACACCAAGTACCTAACCGGTAAAAGGAAGACGCATCTTGTCTGCATTATCATCATGGTACGCGGGCAAAAAGCTACAACCTACAAAACAGGAAGGACTCGACCTAAAATGCCCACCTGAGACCTGCAATAGCTTCCCAGTGTCAGCAGTCGTGATTGAGTATTAAGATTCAATTTTCTTTGATGCTTTGTGGAAAATTTCAAAAGCAGTTTTTTCCGACGCATTATTTCAGATTGCATAAAGCTCGCACTATTCGATTCCTTTTGATATTTTACAAAAAATGACGCGAGCTTTTTGCAATCTAAAATAATGCGTCGAAAAAAACTGTATTGAATTTAAAAAAATGCATCAAAGTTAATTGAACCTTAAATCCATCTAACTGGCTTTCCCTTTTTGATGGGAGAGTCAAACTACTTCGTCCATGGTTTAGAACTTTTGAAAAGTCTAATAATAAATCAGGAGACCCAGGAATCCGCTGAGATTGGACATTTATGGAAACAAATTTACTAGTGTTGGTCTTCTTCTTTCTCATGGTTCTCAACTTTTTTTTACTTTTAATCCGATTATCCACATCTTCTATCTATCCATCTTCCCCCCCCCCCCCCCTAGAGCGTGACATAATATATGCATCAACCCTTATCTATACAATTGACTTCAAAAGTACACGGATCGAAATCCCCTTATACCCTTTTGGCAAATTTCTATTGCTGATTATTCATAAAATTTATAAGTCAACTAATAAGCAGACGCCTTGCAAAAAGTTAATGAAGATCATATGTCAAATGAAATGTATAAATGTTCACACATACCGTTTATGCATTTTTATAGGAACTATGTGGTTTGTCTTATGTTATGGGTGATGTTTTGGCAAAAATGTATAAATGAAACACATGAATAAAATAATTAATTTTCATTTCGTGTAGTCAATTATTTTGTTATGATTGGGGAGAATTTCGCTGCAAAATCGACAAAAAAACATGACACTGATAAATATTATATGATTAATATTATATTCTGTGACATACTTGTAATCGAGTGCCATGACGTGCCGATCAGTGTGATACCATGTGTTTCGGCACACTACTTGAATCATTCGCATTTTTGTAAAAAAACCTTAAGTAAAATCTTCGATCAGCTGTAGATATTTAGAATACTTCCCGGTAAATCTACTGTCAGGAAGAATATCTTTCCTTTATTTAACGTCGGTCTCTGTTCCGAAATCTACACGAAACGATAATCAATTATTTTATTTATGTGTTTCACTTGTACATTTTTGCCAAAACATGAGCCTTATACCACAGACAAACAGACATCACACTCGCAAATTGTTCATCGAATAAGCATTTAATGGTCAATTTAAAGGTATCGTAGTTGGTAGTACCGCCACCTGTGGCGCGTATAGTCATTTCCCTCGAGTTTGACGTTTACACACTACCGCCATCTGTTCAGCGTACTACCCACCACAGTGTACTCAACAGATGGCGGTAATGTTTTAGTGACGATGATTTACAGTGAGAACTACTCAATGTGTTATGTCTGTTTGTCTGTGCTTATACATTCCATAAGACAAATCACATAGTTACTATAAGAATGCATAAAAGGTATGTGTGACCGCTTATACATTTCATTTGACACATAATCTTCATTAACTTTTTCCAAGGCGTCTGCTTATTAGTTGACTTATACATTTTATGAATAATCAGCAATAGAAATTTGCCAAAAGGTATAAGGAGATTTCTATCCGTGTAGTGCCAATCACCGACGGACATCGATTGCCATACATTGACGGCAATCGAATGTGCAGGAAGGCAGCTTCCACACCTGCATAGGATATCGCACCCATTCAATACACATTGGCCGGGACCAACGGCTTTACTTCCCTACCGAAGGAAGACGTGACCAGAGATTTTTATGCCTCAGAAAAATCCCACCGACCTCGGCTGGGATTGAACCCAGACCCATTGGGGTGAGAAAGCAGTCACGCTTACCACTACACCACCGGCGTCGGCTAGGAAGAATATCTGTGGTTATCATTTTACTTTTTGAACAGTTGGCGACCTTCAGAATAAACTTCATCAACCTTCGGATCATCCTGCCATCTTGGATGACTATCTGAAAGATGAAATTTCAAATTTTGAACAGTGGCAGATCTTCAGAATGAAAGTCCGTGTACATCAACAAATTTCCGTTAAAATCTTCGAAAATTCCTTATCTTCTGCGAAGACTTTCGTAGTTCCACCATGCTCCATAAAAAAAAAACTCAAACCAAGCCCCCTGAACTTCATTCCAGTCCATTGAGTATATCGGAAGTTTTCAGCGCCCCTACAAAGTTTCATGAACTTGTGGGGAGCTCCGTAGACTTCTGAAATATGCTGTCAACTCCCAAAAACTTCTAAAATTTGCCATAGCGTGAGGCAACTTTCCTAAAATTCTAGGAAGTTCACTGAATTTCTACTAAGTTTGTTGAGCTTGTTCGGATTTTCTATAACACATAGAATGGAACACCCACCGACCTCAGCTGGGATTGAACCCATACCCATTGGAGTTAATCACCCCTATTCTGTATTTCGTTCAAAACGAAATTCTCATACAAAAATAAAAAAATTTTGTATGGGAATTTCGTTTTGAACGAAATACAGAGTAGGGGTGAATCTCATCGGCAGGGTTACCAAAACTACAGATTGATCTCCATTTCTATAGGTTTGCACAGATCCCAGATTTTTAAATTTAAAACATTAATTTGTTTTTAAATTATGAGTTGTAGCATTTAATTATTGTTAAAAATTCCAAAACATAATACTTTATTTGTTTGAAAACAAATCTTTTGTATTCGCTTTATATTTGATTTTGATTTTGCGAGACATAAAAACAAAACTTTTGTATTCGTTTGAATTTTATGTGCCATGGGAGTATGAGATCTGTCAGAGACGCAGACTCTTGTACCATGTCAATGTTAATATGTTATTTTTTCCGTTTTATGTCTATTAGAATATAGTGCAATATAAAAAACCCTTAATCATTTTTCTAAGATTTTTTTTTATTTGATTAATTCAAACAAACAAACGGTTTGCGATCCTACACTGAAACAAACCCTAATAAAAAAGTACCATAAACGAATGATAACCCAAACGATTGAACCATTCCACAAATGGTTTTGATTATACCCAGAACACGTCGTTAAGCTAAATAACCATAACTATTTTATTAGGGAAGACCATAGTTAGGAATACTATTTTGCAGAAAACACTTATTTTCAGTATAACAGTGCTTAATGCCGTTAAATCTACCATGATTTCAGTATAGCTGACTATAAATATAAACAAATTTAATACCACTCTGTCAAAACTACTATGCTTTCTCAAACGGTATAGTAGTTTTGATAGAAAAATAAGTAAAATTAAATGAATTTCGTTTCTGCACAAATCTATTGGTGCGAGTATCTAATTTAAACCATCAATATAGTAATTTTGCCAATGGATTTTGTTTCTGTGTAGAACATAATCAACTTGCATGCAAGTTTAAAAACCTAACAAATACTGGCATCGCCGTCCCATTTTCGCTGGGTCCGGCACAGCAGAACCGATTATTCTCGATGCTGACAGTTTTTGGTTCTTCCTTTTCTATCGCCACACACAGTTTTCTTTCGGACCAGATATAGTGCAAAATTCTTAGTTTTTTTTGTTTACTTTTAAAATAAGGTGAATTCCGCTCACTGGTAAGGCTTCGCACGAGCGCAAATCAACCGAACTGGCTGGTAAACGTAATCTCCGCTAAGACCGACCTCTAACGGGATAACACTTTTTATTCTAGGCGAATAGAAAAAAAGTAAGACATTTCATTTGGCGTCATCATCCAGCGCTTATCGCCGTTTCTGGAAGGAGCAAAATGGGAACCAAACAAGGATGAGCTACATGTATGGCGCGGAGGAGGTAGATCACTTCAGGAAAATTGCTACCTCGCAAAGGAAAATACCAAAGATCATGGCACTCAACGGTTTCCTGGAGTTCTTCCAGCGGGAAAAGGTGAGTGATTTCGGTTTTACATCCTGCACTCACCATATAAATCATTACTCTTGTAGACATTTCGTCCCAAGAAGAGATTCACTCAAGGAACGATCCGTTATTCACTACACAAGCAGGCCCACGCTAGTCTGCAGTCCGGTATAAATTTGAGAGATGTAGTAAGGCTGCCTCCCGGAGAAAATATGAACGATTGGCTTGCGGTGCATGTAGTAGACTTTTTTAATCGAATCAATCTCATCTATGGTACCATTTCTGAGTACTGCAATGAGACTACCTGCCCTACCATGAGCGGAGGCTCCAAATACGAGTATCTATGGGCAGATGGGGAGCTATTTAAAAAACCAACGCAGTTCCCTGCCCCTCGATACGTTGAACACCTGATGGATTGGGTGGAGAATCAAATTAACAACGAAGCGCTCTTCCCCGTGTCGACCGATGTGCCATTTCCAAAGTCTTTCCCGACTCTGTGCAAGAAGATTCTGGCTAGATTGTTTCGCGTCTTTGTGCATGTCTATATACATCACTTCGATCGAATCGTCAGTATTGGAGCGGTAAGTGGCTTCAGAGGTGTTGACCTCGAAGAAGTACTTGGATGATCTTCTTGAGTGGCGGTGCTAATGTTTGTTTTGCTCTCTTATAGGAAGCTCACGTTAATACGTGCTACAAGCATTTTTACTACTTTATTCAGGAATTCGATTTGATGTCCGTGAAGGAGCTGGAACCGCTAGCCGTGATGACTGCTCAGATGTGCAAAGACTAATTCGGAATTACAATTAGGTTAACGTGATTATACTACAACAAAAGTGTACACAAAATTGTAAATTAGCAATTTGATCGATAGTGATTTTGTAAATCAGGTTGTTGAAAATCTTCAATGCATAATAAAGGATAGGTTGGATGAATAACTATGGGGTGTTTATGATTCAACGCTGATTGCCCTTCATTACAGAGAACAGACATGGAGGCTCGAAGAAAATTTCTCTAAAAACTTGTGTAAAGATTCCTATTCGACTTAAGCGTCACTAACGGCAACTTCCCCACTTAAAAACCCTCTTTGACAACATGATGGAGCTGGCGTTGCACAAATTACGCTAAGTGCTGGTAGCGCCAAGTGGCAATTTTCAACAAAAAATTTATCGATACTAGCGCCAAATTGATCGAAAGTAATAAATTTAAAAGATAAATTTTTGATAGAAAATTACCACTCGGCGCTACCGACACTTAGTGTCTAGTGTAAGTTGTGCAACGCCAGCGCCGTAATGATGTCAAGGAGGGTTTTTTAGTGGGGAAATCGGCGTTGGTGGCGCTTAAGTCGAATAGGAATCTTTACACAAGTTTTTATAGCATTTAGTTCGAGCCACAACGACCGAACTTGAACGTCTGTTCTCTGTGCTTAATATGTGTACACATAAAAGCCATGTGTAACCACACATACTATTCATTTGACTCATAAATTCCATGTGTGCTTCTGGGTGGATTCTGTTTATGTGTGGCCACATGAAAATCATGTGGAATTTTATTAGTGTACCGCTAGCATCTCCTCATACCAAATTCTGTTTACATCTTCCAGCAAAATGGTTTGCTGAAAAAGATCCAGCAAAACGATTTTAGCTGAAATAACAGCTAACAACTTTTTAATTACTGAAAATCCAGTAATCCGTTGTTTTTGCCGAAAACCAGCAAATCATGAACTGTCAAAAAGACTTGTGGTTCTAGTTAATTAGTTGGAAGACCGCTTACAAAAAGCATTGCGTTGTAAAATTTTAACTGGATTATAATTGTTTGGCTATTACCACAGAGAACAGACATGGAGGCTCGAACAAAATTTCTCTGAAAACTTGTGTAAAGATTCCTATTCGACTTAAGCACCACTAACGGCGACTTCCCCACTTAAAACCCTCTTTGACAACATGATGGCGCTGGCGTTGCACAAATTACACTAGACACTAAGTGCTAGTAGCACCAAGTGGCAATTTTCAACAGAAAATTTATCGATACTAGCGCCAAATTGGTCGAAAGTGGAAAATTATAGAGAGAAAATCAGGAGATGCTAACACCACGTAACCACAGAGAACAGACGTTGAAGCTCGGTCAGAAACTTGTGTAAAATAAGTGGGAACGTCGCCGTTACGTGGTGTTAGCATCTCCTGATTTTCTCTCTAAATTTTCCACTTTCGACCAATTTGGCGCTAGTATCGATAAATTTTCTGTTGAAAATTGCCACTTGGCGCTACTAGCACTTAGTGTCTAGTGTAATTTGTGCAATGCCAGCGCCATCATGTTGTCAAAGAGGGTTTTTAAGTGGGGAAGTCGCCGTTAGTGGTGCTTAAGTCGAATAGGAATCTTTACACAAGTTTTCAGAGAATTTTGTTCGAGCCTCCATGTCTGTTCTCTGTGACGTAACGGCGACGTTCCCACTTATTTTACACAAGTTTCTGACCGAGCTTCAACGTCTGTTCTCTGTGGCTATTATACCTATTTTGCATAATAATAACGGGAAGACAGGGGAATATTTTGAAGGAAATATTATCTAGTAACAGATTGCCTTTTATTCTAGATAAATTCGGTAGAAACATGGAGAAGATGCTTACGTGCGAATGGAGAAGAACTTAAAGATAATCAATTTTGTGTAGAGTTAATTCAATAACGACTGAATAAAAGAGGGGTTTAAGTGATTTCTCTAACTACTTGATGCATTGATTCCCTGTTTTTCTTATTAAAACGAGAAAAGCTTCTCGTAATTGCGTAATTGCTGAAATTCCAGCAAAATCAACCTCATTTTTTTCAACAAAGAAATTGCTGATTTTCCAGCAACCTTCTGTCAAAAAATATTTGCTGGAAAGCCAGCAAAATTCACTTTGCTGGAAGGATTGCTGGTTACATAGCTCGGCAAAATCCAGCAAAATTTTGCTGGTTTCCAGCAATAAAAAATGAGTGTGCTGATTTCCTCTATAAATGTATCACTTTCAACCAATTTGGCGTTAGCACAGAGAACAGACATGGAGGCTGGAACAAAATTTCTCTAAAAACTTGTGTAAGGATTCCTATTTGACTTCTGCGCCATTAACGGCGACTTCCCCACTTAAAAATCCTCTTTGACAACATGATGGCGCTGGCGTTGCACAAATTACACTAGACACTAAGTGCTAGTAGCGCCAAGTGGCAATTTTCAACAGAAAATTTATCGATACTAGCGCCAAATTGGTCGAAAGTGGAAAATTTAGAGAGAAAATCAGGAGATGCTAACACCACGTAACGGCGACGTTCCCACTTATTTTACACAAGTTTCTGACCGAGCTTCAACGTCTGTTCTCTGTGGCGTTAGTATCGATAAATTATCTGTTGAAAATTGCCACATGGCGCTACCAGCACTTAGTATCTACTGTAAGTTTTGCAACGCCAGCGCAATCATGTTGTCAAAGAGGGTTTTTAAGTGGGGAAGTCGCCGTTAGTGATGCTTAAGTCGAATAAGAATCTACTAGTACCACAGAGAACAGACGTTCAAGTTCGGTCAGAAACTTGTGTGGGAACGTCGCCGTTACGTGGTGTTAGCATCTCCTGATTTTCTCTATACATTTTCCACTTTCGACCAATTGGGTGCTAGTATCGATAAATTTTCTGTTGAATATTGCCACTTGGCGCTACTATCACTTAGTGTCTAGTGTAATTTGTGCAACGCCAGCGCCATCATGTTGTCAAAGAGGGTTTTTAAGTGGGGAAGTCGCCGTTAGTGGCGCTTAAGTCAAATAGGAATCTTTACACAAGTTTTTAGAGAAATTTTGTTCGAGCCTCCATGTCTGTTCTCTGTGCTAGTACTTTATTTCACTGAGTTTCTATCCAGCACCGTAATGCTAATTTTTTAACCAGTCCGCTTTGAGAAGCGTCCGAGAATGGTTGTGTATTTTTGCTCCGCTGCGTGCTTTTTTTTTAGAGCTCGGGCTATCTTTGTGCTGCCGTGTAGTTTTTCGGTGCTCGCATTTGAATAGTTTTATGTCCCGGACGCGATAATTCCATAGAGGTAACTCTAAGACCACTGGGTCCCGAAGAAAATCATTATTATATTTGGCTACTCAGTACCAGAACAACGGTCCCAAGCAGTCCCAAGCTATTTCACTCACCCCTGCATGTTCTGCATGAATCCACACACCCCTGATGTTATCTGTCAAACTTTCATAGCGAATCAAAACAAACATAGTGTAGTAATAGAATTTCAACTAGAATAGGGTACGTTAATCGTTTGCTTGGGACCAATAGGCTACTAAAGTGGTGAGCCAATTTAAAATCGTTAGTTTCGTATTGATTGTTGATAATTCTATTTAGAATGATTAGTGCTGATGTTTTTCCCCTGTTGCTTTGGTGCCTGGTGTGCTCTCGCTCCCTTTGTTGACGGTGTAACTCGACCGCGCTGATCTATTATTAGGTTTTTGCGGTGTGCATTGCTTTTGTGCACAGAGTGACATGAAGAAGAAAAGTGATATTTAGTTATTGTGTGGTTGGATTCGCTGGAGGAGAAATTGTTTAAAAATGACTAGAGAAAATTAAGCATCGAGAATGCGCTCCCGGATATATTGATTTCGTGAGTACGTTCCAGTTGAAGATTGTTCTCTCTAAATATCCCTTTTTTGAATACGTTTCATTAATCAAACATTATTATATGCTGGGTTTGGGGGGGGCAGCCTAAGGGTTTCAATGGATTTGTAGACTGGACAAGGGTTCGTGGATTTGCCAGTCCCTTGTCACGTGTTGATAGACGTACATCTTGTCGTTTGTCTTCCAAAGGTCTTCAATGAAGTTGATTCACCCTGCTGCAACAAACCATCAGGCAGAACTTTACAACCAGTGAAGTATCTGCAGTCATAGGTAATCCACAGAGAACAGACATTGAGGTTCGAACAATATTTCTGTAAAAACTTGTGTAAAGATTCCTATTCAACTTAAGCGCTACTAACGGCGACTTCCCACACTTAAAAACATTCTTTGACATCCTGAAGGCGCTGGCGTTGCACAAATTACACTAGACACTAAGTGCTGGTAGTGCCAAGTGGCAATTTTCAACAGAAAATTTATCGATACTAGCGCCAAATTGGTCGAAAGTGGAAAATTTATAGAGAAAATCAGGAGATACTAACACCACGTAACGGCGACGTTCCCACTTATTTTACACAAGTTTCTGACCGAATTTGAACGTCTGTTCTCTGTGGTTTCACGTAGAAAATCTGAATACTTGGTAGATTTTGATATTTACCGTTCAAAAACTGTAAAAATACCCTAATAAACGTGTACATATACTAACGATATCTTAGATGGTGCGACCATATCACATAAAATTGGGATGATATCCCGAATTGGTGGTTAGGCGCATCTTATGGTTATTGTTTATGCGGGTAATTACTGAATAGTAAGGCTGTGATTAAGTGTGTAAGTTCATGTTTCATGCTGGTGTTGAAAGGGCGCTTTTCGAACTGCCAATCCGTGCTGAGTTCGACCCTGATGGTCGTTCGTTGTCGTCGTTGTATGCCAAGTGCGCCTTTTCGTCGTCGAATGCGAATGTCAACAAATCGTGCGCTGATCGCGGAAAAGCGGAAAACGGCAAGCGCCTCTTGGGTCAAATTCTGAGCAGCCTCTGATGGGAGGACGTCGTGTGTTCAAAATTTACGTTCAGGGAGGAAAAATTATACGTGCAGCCGAGGAAATTCGCCGTTTTGCCGTGTGCGTATCAATTGGAATGTTGGTTGGCGTTTCCCGTGGAAGGTCGGTAGTGTAGTTGGGTGGGTGGTTTTCTAGGAAAATCGGGAAAATTTTCTGTAAAGCTAAATGGTTTGTTTACTTCCGAAGCCAGGTTGCATTCAGTTTTCAAATCTGACAGTTCGACAGTGTTCGACATTTGAAATTTTTTGCTTCTCGCTCCCTTGCCAGCAGCACCAACAGAGCAGAAGCTTTTTGAGCAGAATATCTGCGAACCCGTCTCGAGAGTGAAAAAGTTCTCCATGTTTGATTCGAGTTTCAAAATTTAGGTGTGTTTAAGTGTGAAAAATCGGATATTAAGGGCGTTTTATGGGTGGAAAATGCGGTTTGAAAGTGTAGAAGATATGCAGTGGTGATTTGGTGCTAGTTTTGTGGGAGGATGAAAAGATTTGAAGCTTGAATTTGGTGTATGAAATTTGCCCATCAATTAGGGCTCAGCCCCGTACGGTGACCACCCACTGGAAGAAGATTAGAAAGGATATTAATTAGTGTTGTGTATGAAATTGACATTGTTGATCTTTTGTTTTGGATCAAGACGGATGAACTATTGAGGAACATTTCGAGATGGATGTGGATTCGCCAAATTCTCTGAAACGATGTTCCAGCGCTCCGCAGATCAACAATCTGCTGCCATCGTCGGCCGTTGGAGTAAATCATCCGATAGTGCCAATGGACGAAGGACAATCACAACAGGACAGTAGTGTTGTGGGATCGACACAACAGCCGTCCTCGCTGCGTCAGATCAATCCCAGCAACGGCAGCAGCAACAACATCAACAATAACAATACTATGTTCCTACAACACCAGCATCAATCTCCCAATCATCACCAATCGATGTCGTCTTCCAGTGCTTCCAATCTGCATACCACCGGTTCATCCATTCACAGGTTTGTGCCAAATTCCGACCTTTTGTTTCATTTTTGTTTATTTGGATTCTTTTCCAGGGATCCTCCTCCAACTTCCTTTTCTAACATATTTACGCGTACGCGTCGATTTTCGGCCAGTTTTAGCCCGTTGGCCGTAATGTCCAATGGCAGTTCTAGTCCCAGTCGATCCGGCAGCGGCACTTCGGGACCGCGGTTAACACCTCGAATATCGCAACTGCGGCAGGAAGAGTGTGCCGATCTGAGCAACAGCCGCGAGGTGAACCACGAACGGGAAATCCACTCGGCCATGCAAATGTCCCAGAGCTACGAAGATCTTACCCTGGTCACCGAGAATTGGTCCTTCTCGTCGAGTGCCAAGAACAATGACGATCTGATCAATCCGCTGCAAGTTGCCCTGCCCTCGATCGGAACCAGTTACTGCTCTAGTCCTTCACCCACCAGGTACATAGTTGAAACAGGCTTAGTGGGCTTAATAATGCCATTTTATGTTCGATCTACATTCCAGCCGTGGTGGCATTGGTTTACAATACCCTACCACATCGCCGTCGCCGACGAGGAAGTTTGTCACCAGGCGGTCGATGTCCCCGTGTCCAATCAGACCTAGTCCGCTCAGTTCGTCGGTGAAGAGGAAATTCGATCTGGAGGATAACTACGGAAACTGTTGCTCTCCGCCGCCGTTGAAAAAGGTTTTCACTTCTGAAAGGTTTGTTGTAAACTTCTTTATATTATTTTTCTTTACCTTTGTCATTTTGGTTGGTAGTAATTTACGAGATTTGAGAATCAGATATTTTTGCTGGAGGGTGGCATTTAAAAACACATTTCCAAACAAAATTGTATGAACATTGTCAGACAGTCCAAGACTGAAAGTCGAAATCACTATGCCAAATAGTGGTTATTTATACCGTATATATGAATTGCTGCATTTTCCTCGCACCCCTCGGGATTTTCACTAAAAACGATCCTCTATATGATCCCAGTATAATGGGAGATTGGCTCAAAGATTGGCGGCAGGGGGAGAGTGATAACGACTAATTACATATCCGAAACTATTGAGAGGGAAAAAGTGCTTCGCACCCACCCTCAGTTGGCGCCTATGTTTTTTATACTTTATTACTTGGTAAGCTATAAATTGAATAAGTCAGGGCTGGTAGCAGGTCACTTTTTAGTGGCTATGCCACTATTTTGAAGTCAGTCACTAAAAAATAACTTTTTTCATCAAAAAGTCACTATATATATTACAATCTAGCCTCTATAGACACTTTTTTTTTACAACCAATGTTGAGATTAAATAATTTGCCTTTTAATAATCACATCAAATTACAGCTTGATTAGGTAACAAATTGTGGTGTTATAAATATATTAAAAATGAGCATCTTGAAAAATCTGACAAGAAGAGTAGTGACAGGATCGTTAATTGTCCAATTAGTGTCCAATCACTAATATTTTGATTTTTATGTAGTCGTTCAAGTCTGTTATTTTTAAAATTTGTCCAGATTATAATTTTTCCCCTGCCTGCGACCTCAAATTTACCATATCTTTTCAAAAAATTACTGAGGCTTCGAAAACAATTGTGGTTCCTGTGCAGAATATATTAAAATATTTTTAAATATTTTAATTTTCTTGACTTAGTCTTAAAAAAACAGAAGTCTCCGTAAAACAAACATTGCTCAGTACAGAAAGCTCTATCTTTTACATGTATTAGATTTGAGAAGACTTAAGGACTTTTCGTTGATATTTAGAAATCTTACACAGATTTTAAACTTGAGAGTTCATACGTCTCTTAAAAATATTTGATGTCTTCATCAGTGTCACTGTCACTGCACATTGTAGTCGAAATACGTATCTGTCATAGATACCAAAATTAATTAAGTGGAATTAAATGGAAGATAACCTTTTTTGCTTTGGGAATTTTGCCTTATTAGAGAGTTGTATGGATTTTTGTCCTTTACTTTACTTAAATCTTTGGTCCGATTCTACACATTGTAGGTTCATTTTCATACCTGTGATCTTGACATGTTTACCTAGGGGATGAGTCAGGGGGTAAGTCACTCTGCCACATTGTGCTAACACCCACAGGAAAACATTTTGACACACTCCAAACACTCTTCCGCCGGATGATATTTTTTTAACACTCCGAATACGATGCCTCCGAAAAACGTGTAACGGCAAGTTTGCAATGGCAGAGCTTAGCCATTTCTTAATGAATTTCAGAAAATTGTGGTACCTTTAAAATTCCTAGGGTTTGTAGATGATTTTGATTGCAAAAAGATTGAAAATAGAGTCGTCTACTTTTTTTAAAAAGCTAAAAGAGTTGTTACACGTTTTTTTTGAAAAGTGTATTTGTAGGGTTTTTGCAAGTGGCGCAAGATCTGTAATTTAGATTAATGGGCACAATGTTCACAATTACCCAGAAAACAGTCGTGGTTCCTATATATGGATCCTGGAGACAACGGAACGGTCCTCAAAAAATCCGGAACATCCGTAAAAGTGGTCAATCCATGAACATGATCCTAGAGCTCTGCAGTTTTTTTGAAAACATTAGGAACTGTGATATAAAAAAATATTTGGGATCGGGACATAAACATGTACTTGGATGGCCATGAAGTTCCGGAAGATCCGTAAAAGTGGACAATCCATACAACTGATCCTAGAGCTCCGCGTTTTTTTAACATTAAGATCTGTGAGATAAGAATGAATTTGGGACATGGACCCAGATGGCCATCGGACCGTCCAGCGGAAGATCCGGAACATCCGTAAAAGTAGTAAATCCACGATCCTGATCCTAGAGCTCCGCATTTTTTTTAACATTAGGAACTGTGATGATAGAAGCAATTTGGGGTTGTGACATAAACATGAACCTGGATGTCCATGGGACCGTCCTCCGGAAGATCCGGAACATCCGTAAAAGTGGTCAATCCATGAAACTGATCCTAGAGCTCCGCAGTTTTTGAAAAACACTAAGAACTGAAATGATTGAATGAATTTGGGATCGTGACATAAACATGGACCTTGATGGCCATGAGACCGTCCTCCGGAAGATCAGAAACATCCGTGAAAGTGGAAAATTTACGAAACTGATCCTAGAGCTCCGTGGTTTTCTTGAAAACGTTAGGAACTGTGATATTAGAATGAATTTGGGATCGTGACATATACATGTACCCAGATGGCCATTGGACCTTCCTCTGGAAGATCCGAAAAATCCGCAAAAGTGGTCAATGTATGGAACTGATCCTAGAGCTCCACGGTTTTTTTTCGAAAACACTTGGAACTGTCATATATAAATTTATTTGCGGTCGTGACATAAACATGTACCCAGAAGGTCATGGGACCGTCCTCCACAAGATCTAGAACATCTTTAAAAATGGTCAATCAATGAAACTGATCCTAGAGTTCTACGGTTTTTTCGAAAGCATGTGGAACTGCGATATAAGAAAGAATTTGGGGTCATGACATAAACATGGACCCAAATGGCCATGGGGCCATCCTCTGGTAAGTACAGAACATCCGTAAAAGAGGTCAACCAATGAAACTGATCCTAGAGCTCCGCAGTTTTTTTTTTCAAAAACATATTAGGAACTGTGATATAAGAATGAATTTGTGAATAGCCATGGGACCGAAGATCAAAAACATCCGTAAAATGGTCACTCCATAAAATTGAGAGGTGGAATCATTGCTATGACGAACACCTCAACGGTGATGCAGCAGAAAAAGAAGGTGGCACGGCAACAGACCTTGGAGCACGCGCAGAAGACGACAGGCTATCGGTTCCTGATCTTCAAAAAGTTGAGGAGGAGATCGGTCGGCTGAAGAACACCAAAGCAACTGGTGTAGATCAACTACCAAGTGAGCTATTAAAATACGGTGGTGAAGTACTGGCTAGAGCGCTGCACTGTGTAATTGCCAAGATTTGGGAGGAGGAGACATTACCGGAGGAGTGGATGGAAGGTGTTGTACGCCCAATCTACAAAAAGGGCGACAAGTTGGATTGCTGCAACTACCACGCGATCACAATGCTGAGCGCCGCCTACAAGGTACTTTCCCAAATTATATGCCGCCGCCAGTCATCATTTGCAAGAGAGTTCGTGGGGCAATACCAGCCGGGATTCATGGGTTCATATTCGCGAATCGATCCTAGAGCTCTGCAGTTCTTTTTTAAACACTGTGATATAAGAAACCACTGGATCACTTTTACGGATTTTCCGTATCTTCCTTTGGCCATCCAGGTCCATGTTTTTGTCACTACCACAAACATCACAGTTTCTAATGTTTTTGTAAAATCACTGCGGAGCTATAGGCTCAGTTTCATTGATTAAACTCTTTTACGGATGTTCTGGACTTACCAGAGGATGGCCCCATGGCCATTTGGGTCCATGTTTATGTCAAGACTCCAAATTCTTTCTTATATCGCAGTTCTACATGCTTTCGAAAAAAATATAGAACTCTAGGATCAGTTTCGAGGATTGACCATTTTAAAAGATTTTCTAGATCTTGCAGAGGACAGTCACATGTTTATGTCACGACCGCAAATTAATTTATATTTGACAGTTCCAAGTGTTTTCGAAAAAACAGTGGAGCTCTAGGATCAGTTCCACACATTGACCACTTTTCCGGTATTTTCGGATTTTCAGGAGGACGGTCTAATGGCCATCAAAGTCCATGTTTATGTCACGATCCCAAATTCATTCTATCATCTCAGTTCTTAGTGTTTTTCAAAAACTGCGGAGCTCGATCAGTTAGATCAGTTTCATGGATTGACCACTTTTACGGATGTTCCGGATCTTCCGGAGGACGGTCCTATGGACATCCAGGTTCATGTTTATGTCACAACCCCAAATTGCTTCTATCATCACAGTTCCTAATGTTAAAAAAAATGCGGAGCTCTAGGATCAGGATCGTGGATTTACTACTTTTACGGATGTTCCGCTGGACGGTCCGATGGCCATCTGGGTCCATGTCCCAAATTCATTCTTATCTCACAGATCCTAATGTTAAACAAACGCGGAGCTCTAGGCTCAGTTTCATGGATTGTCCACTTTTACGGATCTTCCGGATCTTCCAGAGGACGGTCTCATGGCCATCCAGGTACATGTTTATGTCACGACCCCAAATATTTTTTTATATCACAGTTCCTAATGTTTAAAAAAAAACCGCAGAGCTCTGGGATCAGGTTCATGGATTGACCACTTTTAAGAATGTTCCGGATTTTTGTCTCCAGGATCCATATATAGGAACCATGGCTGTTTTCTGGCTAATTGTGAACATTTGTGCTCATTAATCATTGCAAACTTGCCGTTACACGTTTTTCGGAGGCTTCGTAGTCGGCGTAAAGTTTTTTACCCACCGTATTCAGAGTGTTAATCAATTCTGGCACCACTGCAAATAATGTTTAAATTCGATTGTTATTTTGTCGTTTTGAAAAAAAACCAGCGAAATACCGTCGTACCATCCTGCCGGGAAAGAAAAACATTCTGAATCTGGTTTGAAAACCTCAAATTCGAAGAAAAGGAAATACGAAACCGGTTGGGATCCACGAAAGTAGCTGCAGGAGGAACATATACTAAAAAAGGTATATGTCTTGCAAGAAAACCAAGACAAACGCAACGGAACAGTTTCTAATTAATCATATCGTCCAGCCATTTTCCATAAATTATGACGCTGTTCCGCTGGTAGGAAGTCATAAAAATCCCCATATAGAAATTGAGAGAAGTGAGAATAATTCGCTTTCGGTGCATATTCAGATCAAAAAAGTTAACGACAACCTGAAGAAAATAGTTAGGGACCTTGCCGTTCAGTTTTTTCCCGGAAATTATTGTTTAACAAGCTACAATTTAATAAAAATGATATTTCATCACACAGTTTTACCTGTTTTACTACCAGAGCCAAAAAATTCAAATTTGAGAGAGAAAATTTATTCTCACTAGTTCAATTTCTCAACATGCCATGTGTTTTGATGACACTCTATTTGTGATTTCCCTCTCACAGACTACAAAATAGAGTACCTGACACTGCAAAACATGTCTGGTACCGCTATATATGCATTTTGATTAACATCCGAAGTCCCTCCTTTTTTACATATTCTGCACAAAAGATACTTTCTGCCCCGCCCCGTTCATAGAAATTGGCAGACATCCTGTGAGGGCTGAGCTATTTGTGTGCAGAATGTGTAAAAAAAGGAGGGAATTCGGATGTTAATCAAAATGCATATATAGAGGTACCAGACATGTTTTGCACTGCACTGTTCTCTGTGAACAATTAACGGAAAACAGATTATGTGTAGTTTCCGATAGATGCCACCGCCAACAACAGCAGAAGCTTGACAAAATGATTAATTGTAAATCCTAGGTTCTCACCAGCAGCTATCCAATCACGGCCCCACAAATTAATTGCAAATTGCACCCATTGCTTAATCATCCTTCCCGGGTGGCATGTAACCATTCGTCTTCCTCCTGCAGCGAGAGGGCCAATGTCCATGTCAAGGACTAATATACACTCAAACAACAGCAAAGGAGTCGTAGGGGATCCGTCATTTTCAGCGTTATGTTATGGTTGCTAGTAAATATATATTTTTTTTTCGGTTGAAGTTTTGACAGCTCGGTCATCACGATGAAACACCTAGAAACAACTTCCGACACCCAAAATCACACATGGACATGAAACACAAGGTGGCAGAGTAACTTACCCCCTGATCAGATCCATTGGGAAATTCTATAGCATCTCAAATCCGATACGAAGTGGCACTAATCGAACATCTTTCCCATTTCAGAGGTTCATCTCCCAATTGCCAGACACCTTCGCCGTCTCCGATCTGCGCCAGCCCGGACTCTTCGACGGCATCATTCGAGAACGGTAGCAACAATGCTTCGAGCAGCGGTCGAATAACGCCCAAATTTTTCGTCACCAAGCTAGCATCTGGCCAGTCTAGCTTACCCACCGGTGCTGGAGCCGGTGGTAACGGTGCACAAGGCAGCGTTGCTGGAGTCAGCACTGTCAGTAGCGCTACGCTTCCCCTCCATACCGATTCGCCACCATCTTCGTCGTCTTCGTCGTTGATGATGATGGATTGCGGAGTTAGTAGCAGTAGCGGTCACAATCAGCTGGACGGGAAGCGACTACTACCGGCAGTTAGTAGCTCTGCAGCAGGAGGGACGAAAATCGACTGTGACGAGGATATTACCGATATGAATGCCGTTGCCAGTTCCAGCTCCAGTATGGCAACAACCGAATCATCGGAAGCGATGATGGAGGAAGTGCTGAAGACTACCCGGGCTCTGGAGGAGCGTAGCGAGTCCGAACTTTTGGATAGTAGCAGTAGTGCAGTAAGCAATAGTCACAGACTTAGCACCGGAAGCATTAGCAGTGCCAGTAATGACAACAACAGCGAAAGCAGCAGTTCTCTCTGTCCATTGGCATTCGGATCGGGTACTACCAACGGAGGCGGAGCGTTCCTGGTAAACAATATCGAAATCGCCGAAACCTGAATGGGGCTAACGGATTCGATGAATGGTTTTGATGGGACAAACGTAGTCGTACATTGCAACCTCCGCTAACATACACACACATACAAATACACGCTTAGGAAAACGGAAGGAGGTTTTGTTTTCCAACATATTTTCTCTTAACTTTTCTTTGTATAGCTTAGCTCTAAGGGTCTTAGATTTTTCGTTTTGTTCGATTCAGATGAAGGAGGGAGAAATGTACGTGTCTAATGTCATTATTTCGCATTGTTAGATGCTAATTGTAGATAGTCGATAGATGAAAACATAGAATGGAATGATATTCACTTGGTAACACACATACTAAACAGTAAACCAAATAGGATCATTAACACAAGTTTAGAGCACGTTCGAATATGTACTACCGTGATGCCCAGTGCTTCACGTGGTGTGTGGTGTGAATTAGTTTCGTGAATCGTTCCGGGTGATTTAATTCAGCACAAAACACTGAAGCACGTGGTCTGTTGCATAGAATTTTAGGAATTCACCCATATCACATATAAAGTTTGAAGGTTCGCCAGAATTGCAACCAGACCCCCAATAACCCAGAACAGTTCGTAATCTATTTACCATTTCACTAAGTAGAGTTTCAAATACCAAATAACTGATAATATTGAATGGGAACGGGCGAATTAATTTGTCCCTGCATTACTGAGATAGCAGCCGAAAGGGGAAATTGCTATTTGCCACTATAATAATACCATCATAAGATGATTCGACGGAGAATGCACAACACTTTAGGAAAGCAATACATTACGCTATATAAATATCGTAACAGTGTGAATGTGGTGGAACATGTTGCACTATTAGGTACTTGGTTTGTTTTTCTGTGATTATTTGTCCCTTCTGCCAGCAGCAAAATTGACTTCAGTTTCTTGTGCCCTTGGATTGTGAATGGAAACTTTGTCTTCGTTCATTTGTTTAATGATAATCAATTTACCGGATGTCGTTCTTTCTTATGAATAAAAAAAAAAAACAATGTGTATGAATTTAATCCAATCGAGAATTAGAATTAGTTGAATTAAACAAGTGATAATAAAGTAAAATACGTAAACTTGTTTTAAGATTTTGCTTCGAACACTTTCTTCGACCAGTAGAGGGTGTGTTGTCATAGTCCTCTCCAGGCGGGTTCGTATTGGTGCGATTTGCGTGTTAGCTGTGAGAAATGTTTTGTTTGTTGTAAGAACTATCGTTCTAAAGTAAAAATAAACAATTCAGTGCCAACATTTCAAAGGGGCGTAATTGCATTTGTAAACAATGGCTTTAGCTGTCGATTTCTCGCGAATAAAAGCTCATTCATGAAAAATAATGACACCAATAATTAGAGGAATGGGAGAGGAACCATCTACACGGTAACCGCAAAATACCCAATAATGACTATAAAAGACTGGATATTGACTACAAAGTAAGCATTTTCGAGGGCGACTGGGACTACCCATTAAATGAGTAAAAATATTACCCATATATGAGTATTTGTTACTCAAAAATGAATACTTACTACTTATTTTTGTAGTTGTAATTACTCATTTAATGGGTAGTCCCAGTTTCCCTCGAAAATGCTTACTTTGGTAGTCATTATTGGGTATTTTGCTGTTACCGTGTAGCATTGTTATTTTAAAGGAGTGAGCTTTAAGATGCGAGAAATCGATAGCTAAAGCCATTGTTTACAGAAGCAATTACGCCCTTTTGAAATGTTGGCACTGAATTATTGTTTATTTTTACTTTAGAATGACCGTTCTTACGGCAAGCAAAAAAATTTTCACAGCTAACACAAGCAAATCGCACCAATACTAACCCGCCTGGAAAGGACTATGACAACACACCCTCAACTGGTTTTGTTAACAAAACGAAAACAAACCCTACGGTTGCACGGTAAGAATCAAATACCCTTTTCAAGGTTACTTCCACTCACTTGCTATAAAAAAATGTTTTTCGGAATTATGAAATCATGATATAATATAATGCTTATTAGTACTTGTAAGTTACAAGAGGAGGTCATGAAGTATATGTTTGACACATTAAATCTGTCAAAATTGCTTTCAGTGCGTCACAATCAGCGATTTTACGACTCGTGAGCGCTCACTCTGAGTGAACGCTCACGAATCATAAGATTGCTAATTGTGACGCTCTCAAAGCGAAATTGACAGGTTTTATGAGTCAAACACATACTTTACTACCTCTTCTTGTTACTTACCAGTACAACATAGCATTATTGCATCTAATGATTGCATAATTCCGAATAATATTTTTTATAGCAAGTGAGTGGAAGCAACCCTGACCCTTTTATGTTGTTGCTGCTAACTGTAGCTAACAGTTAAAGGCCTAGCGCAATGACAGCGGAAGCAGAACGGCAGAGGCAGCGGAAAAGCTCGATCTAATCTAAGTAAGCCTACTTGTCGGATTGAAAACTTAATAGAACCAAATCGACTTCGGTCATTTGTGACAACTGTCAAACTTTCCGTTTCCGATACGCTTCCACCCACATTTGCGTTTGGGCCTTTACTAATCAATGAGTATAGTAAATTACTCATTAATTAGTAGTGCCACTTTTATTGACAATGGGCTAACTTTTACTCATAAATACAAGTTTGATACTTACCGCGTACATGACAGTATACGCTAGTGTGTGTAAAGTTATATTAGTGTAGCGCATGGTGGGTATATCAGGGGGTAAGTCACTCTGGCACATTGTGTCTGTGCTGATTGTGTTTCTTCTGTGCTTTTGGGCAGGTGTCGGAAGGGTCGGAAGATGTTTCAGCCAGGGGCGGGATGTGCTACCAAATCGTCCTACTGAAAATCCATCAATAAGATGGAAATATGTAATACCCCGTTCACATTACAGCGTATATCACGTGATGAGCACTGATACATCTAATATTCACTGAAAATCCTATGTATGAGTGCTCATTAGACTGATGCAAAATTTGAAAAATTGCTCCACAGTGCTCAAACGGTTCCAAATTGGGCCCTGATTAGCCTCCCACAATTTGAACTCATTTAGTGAGAAACTGACTTGGCACAAACCATTTGAAGGGAACGGGGAACGACACTTCAAGATTATCCCATTTTTACCCAAACCTCTCATATAATTTTCAACGTGCACAAAATTTCAATCCATCCTATCTATTCTTTCTATTCCCAACTTATCCCTTCTGCATGCACACAAATTGTCAAGCAAGCCGTGCAGTTTCTCGAAGTTTTCAGGTCGACCGCGAAGCACTCTGCCATACTCACTGTCAGTTTACAACGCTCTCCACAACAAACACCACGTATGTCAGCTGACCATGCCGGTAAAAAATCGGTGCGAAAACTAAAAAAAGATGACGGACCATTCGTCTATAATCGGTCTCGGGGGCAAAAAACATCAAGTGCATCACGGAGGAGACGGCAACGCACATCCATTTCCCGGACTCAAACCGATCGAATTCGACGGATAAGAGCCCGGGTCCTCTGTGTGTTGTAGCATGGAAGTTACCGAACAGGCGCGAAGCAACTGTTGATTTCATTCGAACTGCTGATTCTAGCCCCGGGAAAAGCCTTACCAATGAAACCCCCTACGACAAGCAGGTGGAAAAGGAATTTAGGTCGTTTTTTCCACTCGGCTCAAGTTTTACTCGTCTCTGCTGCTGGTCAAGGGTTCGGATAAGAAAGAGCTAATGGTGAAGTAAGACACCCACCGGGTGATGTATTTCTGTGCGAGAATATTGCGGATCAAATTCCCGTCCAAATACAGCTGGGAATATTAACTGGAACCTTGTAATCCATCGCCATCACCCGTTCATCCTACTGTGCAGTTTCGACCTTTTCGGTGCGGAACCGTTTTCTGCACTTGAGCTGTGAGCTTTGATTATTATAGTTGGGCGGTGTCCCGAGCGGTGTCCATTAATTCCGTTTCGCTAAAAATCAATATGTTTGACCCCCCCCCCTTTGGAACAAAACGGTACACTGAAAATGACCCCCCTCTATTTATTACGCAACGCTCTATAAACCCCCCTCCCCCGCCTTTTCATTTAATTAATGTTTGATTTCGTTTTGTATTTTTTTATTTTTAGGTAATTAATTATATTATTAATATTCAAAACAAAAACAAAAGATCAGCGTACCATCGAGTACCTCCTTTTCAAAAGTTCAAGATAGCAAAAATCTCAATTTATAAAATTGAAACAGATCCATTTTGTAAAGTAAGATTTAGTGATGATAGCCTTCGTTGTCGTTGCCAAAAACGTCAAAAAAGACCTGTATTTTCAAACTTTACATCAAGAAACGAAAAAAAAACAAAATGTTCTCTTTTTTACGCAACGCAAAGCTTTACTACTCCTCCCCTATGTATAATTCGTAACGATATAGGTGACCCCCTCTCCCTCTATAAGCGTTACGTAATTCATGGACGCTTCATTGCAGCAAATTTTTCTTCTTTTTACACCTATCCTCTTCGCGTTCAGACTCGTATCCCTCTGAAATTTTTTAACATCCCTCACATCACATCAATTGCCTGATCTATTCCCATCTATTTTTTCTATCCCTGCTCTATTTTCGTCAACACGACACACTCAAAAAAATCCCATCAATTATGTTTTTCCCGAAAATCCCAAGTAATTACTAGACTGAAAAAATACATCCAAATGAGTGTCGTTCCCCCTGTGTCCACACATAAACAGAATCCACTCAGAACTACACATTGAATTTATGAGTCAAATGAATAGCATGAGTGGTTACCAGGGTTGTTAATCGATAGCTCGATGCTTGGAGGCGAACCAGCCCAAGGCTGAAAGCCTCCTTAATAAAGCTAAATAATAATAATAATCGATAGCTCGATAACGTCTTTTCGTTAACGTCTGCAATGGGAAATTCGCATAGGCGTTAACGAAAAGACGATATCGAGTTATCGATTAACAACCCTGGTGGGTACACATGAATTTTATGTGTACACATAAGAACTATGTGTCCGACACATACATATCGACAATGAGCAAGCATAAAGGCGTATACGCGATGATCGATTCTCTTCATCGATTTTGTCTTTGCATTGTTAAAGCTAAGCGAAACAATTTTCTAGAATTTGTTCAATGCAGAGTTGTAACAGGTTGTAAAAAGCAACAACAAACGCACCAAGAAACGTTAATTCTAGCGAGTTATTAACAAAAGAGAAAATCGACGAAGAGAATCTATCATCGCGTTTACATCATTATGTATGCTCACTGTCGATATCATTTGTTTATCACATTGCAAAAATTAATGTGTGGGACACATAAAAAGTAGCATTGTATTTTTATTAGTGTAGAACACAGACGCTTCGTATCACTGGCAAAAAGCAGCATTCGAGGGATGTAACCGGGTCACGTTTAAATGTTTGTTAAATGAATGGAGTGGCATCGCCGGAGGCGAGAATGGTCTTCATGACTACCAACTACCTGGGGACGTTTGATCCTGCTTTGATAAGACTGGACAGTCAAGGAATTCGTCGGATATTGCAACCGACAACCCATTACCGGCGGAATGGGTTCGAATGAGTGGTGACCTCCTCGTGATAATACATGATGTATGATCTGTGGTCCTTGGAGCAAGGATCGCTGCGAGTATGACAGTAGGATGGAGATCGGGAGGATTCCAACTATGCCACCCACGAATCAATGTTTGATGTTTTAATATACTTAGTGAACGGAAACCGGTGCATATTTCATGCTAGGGAAGGTCCATTAATTATGTCACGCAAATTTGGCCCATTTTCAACCCCCCCTCCCCTCTTTGTCACATTTTGTATAAAGGGTGATACGGTCAAAATTTGGTCAAGGGAAAACGCGTGTAAATCGGTGAAATCGTTTATTTAAAAAATCAAATTAAATTTCATTTTCAAGTTCAATTAGTATAAAATTCAGGAAAAATATTCAGTTAGGCTTCCGCTTTTCCTAATCCGAATTGCCGGGCCTTACGCTTGACCCCTACCATCAGATTTTGTACAGCCACCTTGTCCACCTTCTTCGCCGCAGAAAGCCAGTTTGCCTTGAACTGCTGCTCGCCCTTAGCAGTTTTTTGGTCTTCTTTAGGTTCCACTTGACAATAGCCCAGTATTTCTTAATTGGGCGGAGCTCTGGCGTGTTGGGAGGGTTCTTGTCCTTGGGAACCACCTGCACGTTGTTGGCGGCGTACCACTCCATGGCCTTTTTACCGTAATGGCAAGATGCCAAATCCGGTCAAAACAGTACGGAACAACCGTGTTTCTTCAGGAAAGGCAGCAGACGTTTATTCAAACACTCTTTCACGTAAATTTCTTGGTTGACAGTCCCGGAAGCTATGAAAATGCTGCTTTTCAAGCCACAGGTACAGATGGCTTGCCAAACCAGATATTTCTTTGCGAACTTTGACAGTTTCATGTGCTTGAAAACATCTGCTACCTTTCCCCTTCCTTTTGCCGTATAAAACTCCTGTCCCGGAAGCTGCTTGTAGTCGGCTTTGACGTAGGTTTCGTCGTCCATTACCACGCAGTCAAACTTCGTCAGCATCGTCGTGTACAGCCTCCGGGATCGCGCTTTGGCCGTCGTATTTTGTTTATCATCGCGATTTGGAGTCACTACCTTCTTGTAAGTCGATAGTCCGGCTCGTTTTTTGGCTCGATGCACGGTTGTAGACGATACACCCAGTTTATTTGCGGCATCTCGGAGAGAGAGGTTAGGGTTTCGCTTGAAACTACCGGCAACTCTCTTTGTCGTCTCAGCGGCTTCCGGTTTTCGATTTCCCCCCGATCCAGACTTCCTGGCTGTCGACAAACGTTCCCCAAACACTTTAATTACATTTGTAACGGTTGATTTGGCAACTTTTAGCGATTTTGCCAACTTTGCGTGCGAGTAGCTCGGATTTTCACGATGCGCGAGCAAAATTTTGATACGCTGCTCTTCTTGCTTGGACGGCATTTTGACAACTGAAGAGTGAATTCCAAAATCAAAATAGGAGCAACATTCTACACACACACACCTTCAAAATGAGGGGTGTTCAGGTTTTTTAAATGCAAAATTGAAAGAAATACGTCAAGTTGATATTGACCAAATTTTGACCGTATCACCCTTTATGGACCTTAATTGTTTTTTGTAAGGCTCGTCACAGTTTCCAAAACCCCCGTCCCCCCTAAAAGTGTGACATAATTAGTGGACGATCCCCTAGAACGAATATGGGAACGAATTTTTCTCCCAAGTAGCGCTAGTTCTTACATACACACAAAATATATGTAGGTACAATCCAGTGGCATACTTTTATACATAACCAGTTCAGTGACCATTCGATCAACCTTCATTATCGTGCCGCCCCCTAGACTTATCCTGCAAGAATTAATAGCTGGCTGAAGGACGGATCTCTCTGATTTGGGTGCGTATATGGAATGACTACCAGATTAGAAAGAAATATCTTTCTACAGCCATCGGTCAATCATTGACTTGATTATTATCCGCTCCTTTCTTCACATAGTTACGGATAATCTGGCTTATTAGAGGCTGAAATGGTCAGTTTTTATAATGGCCTGATAGGACTAGGAATTGTAACTAATAATAATTGAAATTCAAAAGAACTAAAGTTGAAAAGACGCATCTGTGTTACTTGATAAGTAATACATGTAAACTACACAAATACGAGAATTAAAGATCATTCAAAGTAAAAAAAACTCATAGAAGGTATTCTTGTGACGAATTTTGGAGGTGACGGACAACCAGCAGCAACAAAGGGTCTGTTCATAAACTACGTAGACAGTTTTTTTGGGATTATTGACCCCCCCCCTCCCCCTGTGTAGACAATTGTCCATACAAAAAATTTAAAATTTGTATGGGCCGTGGATAATTCTCAACCCCCCCCCCCCCTAAACTGTCTACGTAGTTTATGAACAGCCCCAAAAGTAGCAGCAGTAGCAGCAGCAGCAGCAGCAATAGAAGCAGCCGCACCCGTGGGAGATGCATCACTAATTCGTGTAGCGGTGGCCGAGGCTGGAAACCTCGGTCTTGTCACTCCGGTCACGACACTTACATACTTCAATCACAGACAAACAGACGTAACTCTTTGAAAACCTTGTTCTTGAAAACATAGTATCTCAAAACATATAACCACAGTAACGACATCTATCTGGCTTCTCGCGGAAAACAAGCTTGCTCGCTAACTCGCAAACAATATTGCATAAAAGTTCTATTGAATGTATAGAAACGTCAAAGTGATCCGATGCCAGCGCTGCGGAGAGTAGTTCGCGGAACTGATAATATTCAAATCAACCGTTAAATGCGTGAACAAAGATACACAATGAAGTGTTACGTCTGTTTGTCTGTGAATAAAGGATGTATTCGATAAAAATAGCACACACATATTTACTCACCGATTATCGGATTTTCTTGATATTTTCAGGGAATGAAAAGCTACTAATGAGTTATGATTTACAAAATATGTTTTATTCAATTTCGTTTCCCATTCCGAATGCCCGCACCTTCCTTTTCACTCCACCCCTCAATTTTTTTACAATTGATTTTCCCAGTGTGTTTTTGTTGTTTTTACCGAGGGAACGACTCTATCTACGATGCAGGAAATATTGTGTTTTACTGTGGCTAGCTGCGTGACGCTGAGTAGATAGGTAGAAGATTAATCACGATTCTGAAGATTTACTGCAAAAAAGATGATGCGCGATGCAAGTAGATGCGAGAAATGAAAGAAGATTTATTCGCTAGTGTGAGATTTTTTGAGCATCTGAAGTTGAGATTTAGATGTGTCATCCCCCTCGGTTTTTACCCACATTTTCTTCAACTCCAGCTCTGATTTGATAGTTTTAGGATGTTTGCGAAGTTCCGTTTTCATAATTGCCCAGAATTTTTCAATTGGATGAAGTTCCGGTGAATTTGGTGGGTTCATATCTTTTGGCATAAAATTGACTCCGTTGGCTCGGTACCACTTCAACACATTTCAAGCGTAGTGGCAGGATGCTAGATCAGGCCAAAACAGAGTTAATCCTGTGTGCCTCCTTATGAATGGCAAGAGACGCTTCTTAAGGCACTCTTCCGTGTAAATCGCACCGTTGATTGTTCCGGAAGTGATGAAGGGAGTGCAAATCGCCTGCCAGATCAGGAACTTCTTTGCAAATTTCGATAATTTCTTCTTTCGATCATCCTTCGGAACATCGCACTTAGACTTGGCCATGCAATATTCTTGCCCAGGAAGTTGACGGAAGCCGTCTTTGACGTAAGTTTCGTCATCCATCACGATGCAACACGATTTGGTGAGCTACTTCGTGTAATGCCTTGTTCAGACTGGAGAGTTATAACAACAATCAATACGAAACTAACGATTTTAAATTGGCTCACTACTTGACTACTATTGGTCCCAAGCAAACGATTAACGTATCCCATTCTAGTCGAAATTCTAGTACTACACTACGTTTGTTTTGATTTGCTATGAAAGTTTGACAGATAAAATGAGGGGTTCATGGATTTTCCTATGTTTCGAGGAGTGCATCGATTAGCTTGGGACCGAAGAGAGTACCAGAGCTGAGCCAAAAAGTTGAGCACGTTTGTTCGGGACCTACTAATCTTAGAGTTACCTCTATGGTTATAACATGTTATAACGGTTTTCAAATAATTGCAACACAGAGACCACCATCAAGAAAGCGCTATAACATGTTATAACTCTGTAGTCTGAACGTACTATAAATTAACGTACTATACGCTGAATTTGGTATCATTAGTGATGATTTTCTTAAGGTGGCCAGACTGCCCCACTTTCCCCTACTAAATAAAATCTGGACTACTTGGAGTGTAGCCTTGTGTGTCGTTACTGCACCCCCGCCCCCGAGTATCGGCCAGTCAATCCCGGCGTGAAAACAGTGAACTCTTGGAGGAATAATTAAACGTTCAAAAGGATTTAGATAGGATGATTTCCATGATTTTTTGGGAGTTTTTGGTTTAGGCTTCTTTAGTAAAGAGGCTTGCAGCCCTTGACTGGTTCATCTATGGTTTCAAATTTCTGGGCTGTTAAAGAGAAATTATAGTGGGAGTCCAAAAACCTGAATCAGCATTTAATGAGCTTATAAAAATGTTATTAGTTTATATAAAAACGTTCCCAACTCATTATTAAACGCTTTTCTGAAAATTTTCTGATCTTACTAATCCCCTATGGATGTCATCAAATAGTCGGCACAACAAACAGTGGTAGAATCTTTGACCATAATGTTTCATTTATTCATTATTCTATACTAGTTGCAAGTACATACCGTTTTTCTTTTGTGTTCCTGACGACCAAACAAGCATTTGGATAATTTTGTTTTGTCTTTCTTTGTTGATTTTTGCCAATACTAAATAACACGTTCAATTCGCTATATGTATGTATATACTTTCGCTCATCACTGTTTGTTTGATTTTTTTTTTAAATATAACAATTTGCTCATCGATATCATGCATGACTTACGATAAAATGAGAAGCTTGTCACGGTTGAATTTTGATCGATAGTGCTGCAATGAATGTTGCACAAGATGGTACATTGTTCTTTTTAGACACTGAGTTAGTGTATGAATTTAGGTAGAATAATTAAAAACTAAGCTGAAAACTGTACACTACCTACCCTGATGCTTCAGCTCCACGGCCGATGAGATGCATTCAAAAATTCCTACAAACATCCTTTAGCGCGCATTGCCTTTTCCATTTCGTTTAGACTCATATTGACCACATGGAAATTTTGAACTATTGAGTGTTTAGACGACTTGGTGACTTGGTTGCTGAATTTAAAGTCGGAACGATACGACGAGATCATTGTTTCCATAATCCAGGTTCAGATGCTGAGCTCTGTCTGTCGGTCTGTGTTTTGTCTTAAAATCTTAAAGTTTTGTTTCCAAAATTTAGAAAAAAATAAAATCTTCAACTACACGCGGTTTAACAGTCGTCAATTGAAAATGGCGAGTTCCGAGTACTTAAATGTCTATAGAATGTAAATTCAATTCACGTTTCTCTGTTGATCTGGCGATGTTGCTGTGTTGTGTTGCGTTGGTTTAATCGTTTTTATTATTCCTCATAGCACAAATAGCATGTTGCTGCCTCCGTGGAATCGATTGAGCTATTCTCGTCGCCAATTGAGCACCTTTATTGCGAGTTTAACCGTCGTTCATTGCGGGCGTTACCCAGCCGTACTTTTCGTGCGTTTTGACTAGTGACCGAAAGGCTTCCTCGGCCGTTCTCCTACAATGATTGAGCCATGTGATAATGACTGTAATTAGGTGCTAGTAATCAGCGAAAAATCTCACCTGCTAAACTCCTTCGATGATTTGGGTTTCCTCGAGACACGGCCCTGCCCCTTGACCAAACTGGCAGCGAACTGCATCAGCACTGCTTCGACCGTGTACGCACTGGCCCAGCCCCGAGGCGTTAGTAGTTCCATACAGATGGCGCCACCCTCCATGACGAAGCCTTTCTCGATGCGTGGTTCGACGACACGCATAAAGGGTGGGGCAAAGGGGAAATTATCCGGAAACACCAGATGCAGGAGGATGTGCGGAATGTTCAGTTCGACTAGGTCCTCCGCAAGGGGTGAATCGGGATCCACTCGGTATAGGCGGGCGTGCCACTCGTACAGGTTATCGTTCACCAGTTCGACCTAGAGAGAAGATAGGTGTAATTTATTCAAAGATATTTTTTTGCGTGAGAATGTCAGAATCTTACGGTGAAGTAAGGATCGGACCGTGAGTGCTGTATCCGTTCGATTTCCTTGAGTTCCTTCATCAGTCGTCTGGATCGGATTGTGGTGTCCAAGGGTTTTGATACCGGCACGTTTACTAAGCTATTGTTGCTGGGGGCGACGGAACTGGAAGCAGTAATGAGAGTGCGTTACAAAATTAACCATCATCATCAAAATAGATTTAAGCTTAGAAAATAGCTAAGTGATCAAGGACCAACTTCTTCGCCTCCGCTTAAGGTCTTAAACCAGGTTTAATCTTATGCAGCCGTTCCACGCCAAATGACGGATCGGAAAAACTTGGCCTTTTCCGATTTGCATGAAACTTTGCACAATTGTTTGTTATGGGCCGATTTACATTTTGCTAAAATTCTGCCATTTTGGATCTAGTACACTCTAAAAAATTTTCATGTCAGATTTACGTGAAATATCACGTACCTGATCTGTATTTAGAAAATCTCAAATGTTACGTGACGTTAGTAACTTTGATCTGCATTAATGACGTGTAAATCAACTAAAAATGTTGGTGAAATTGACCGTATATTCACGTAAACAGATTTAATGTATTTGTGTTTGTGTGTTTGGGACTTTGATATTTCCGTGAAACGAGATTTACGTGATTTTCAGGTACGAAAAAAAAATCAATATGGCGTCACCGAGCGTGGTGAAAGAACTCCTCAAAGATTCAAAATTCCTCAGCGCTTGTTGCAAATGTTGGACGGTAATTTGATTCTTTTATATTAATTTATTTATGATTATATGTAGCTTTTTCTAGTTTTATAATTTCAGACGATGACATCAGCATTTTGAGTCTGCAACAAGTGTTAATATTTTGTCAGAAAAAAAAAACTCATACACGTTTCTACCTTATAATAATCAATTGGTCAATATTTTACAATTTTTTGAGTAGATATAAGTATTAATTTAAACACGTGAAATCTATATCTTCCCGATAAAATTGCATAATATTGACTGGTTCTATATATACTTCCGATTATTCGCGTTAAAATTCACATACAAATTACATGAAAAGCATTTTAAACCAAACGGAATGTCACGTAAACACAGATGTCCAGTAGTTTTCACCCCCATTTCACGTAAGCAGTACGTGGAAATCAGCTCTTATTTACCTGACTAAGCACATAGATAATTGAAGCTGAATTTTGATCGGCTACGTGCAATTCCGGTAAAAGTTACGTGAAAAATAGGGTGGACCAGAACCACCTATGTTTTCACGTCAATCGGACGTGATGATTTTTCAGAGTGTATAATTTTCACGATTTTTCATGAAATTTATACTCAGAAACCAACTTTTGGTAGATTTTCTTCTTTCCTTTATTTAACGTCGGTCTCTGTTCCGCAATCTAGTGCCAATCACCGACGGACATCGATTGCCATCCATTGACGGCAATCGAATGTGCAGGAAGGCTGCTTCCACACCTGCGTAGGATATCGCACCCATTCACAACAACACACATGGGCCGGGACCAACGGCTTTACTTCCCTTCCGAAGGAAGACGTGATCAGAGATTTTTATGCCTCAGAAAAATCCCACCGACCTCGGCTGGGATTGAACCCAGACCCATTGGGGTGAGAAAGCAGTCACGCTTACCACTACACCACCGGCGCCGGTATTCTGGTAGATTTTAAACCATGTAATAATGTGAAAAATGCATACTAAAAAAGTTCAAAATTTTACCACAAGTTCTTGTTTTACAATTGGTTCATGATTTTTGTTAGCAATCCATGACAAAGTTGTAGTTTGTCGCTGTCAGTGTTTATATAAAAAAAAGGTTGTAGGGGAAATGGCTCTAATCACAAATAACAGACATCCAAGTCAAATTCCTAAAGTGTGTAAGAAATTAAACTGCTATTTTGAATAGACATTTTTTTCCTTGATTTGTTTTCCGTCGATCTTGTTTTCCGTGGTGAGCACCAATGCTACCGACGCCAGGAAGGCAGCTCCCACACCTGGACCCTACCTATCGACCCATCAACTCATGAACTCATGAAGACGTGATCAGAGATGTCGATGACCGGCAGACGTCATTTTAACATAAATGTCAAAATTATTGTGAGCAAAACATTGTTTGTTTAAAACCCATCAAAAAATGGGCCGCAAGTGCGAGTTTCATTGGTGCGCAAATAAACAAGGTGTTACCAAGCGAAAATCTTTTCACAATTTTCCTAAGGATGCCTAAATTGAGATTTTCTTCTCACGTGGAGTCCAAGCGCTTGCAACGAAAAATTTATGTTCCGACTACTTCCCCCGGAGGCTTTTCAAATTCCTGGATGAACGGATGCAGGGTAAGCAGTGTTCAAATCTTACCATATTTTTCTAAATTTAAATGAGGGTTAATTAGAGTTCACACCCTCACTGAATCATTTTAAGATACGCCGCCAGTGAACTAAAAAAAAGTCAGTTTTGCGCTTGACTACTATGCCCAGTTAAAATATGAACGAAACACGGTTGTAGATTTACAGGAAACTGTAAAAGAGCTTAGTTTTTTATTCGAAAATAATGGTTCCGCAGAAACTCGATTGATTTCCGTTGTTTTGTCTTGTTTGTTTTGAACTGATTTGACAGTTCATTTGGATACACGGTCAATGAGATCAATCCAAATTTCAGTTCTTCTTTCTTCTTCTTCTTCTTCTTCTTCTTCTTCTTCTTCTTATTCGCATTTCAAGCTTATTGCTTGGCGCATACTGGCTTATTGCGTGCTCTCAACTTAGTGTTCTAAATGCACTTCCACAGTTATTAATTGAAAGCTTTCGATGCCAATACCAATGCATGAATTTGTATATTGTGTGGCAAGCACAATGATACTCTATGCCCAGGGAAGTCGAGAAAATTTCCAACCCGAAAGATTCCCTCGACCGGACCGGGAATCGAACCCGCCGCCTCCGGCTTGGTAATACCGTGCCTTTACTGACTAGGCTATGAGGCCCCACAAATTTTAGTTCAGTTAACTCATTAATCGCATTTTAACTCGAGTCGCAACATTCAGTATGGTAGCGCTAGTGTTTCTAACGTAATTTAATTTGAATTCTTACACATAATGTTTCGATAAATTTGTTTAAGCTTGGATGTCTGTTCTCTGTGCTCTAATGTTGGCCTATATATGGATCTAAGATAGGGCCCATTGCTAAAAATCTGATATTAATCAATTATATCTAGATGAACGCGTCATTGGGACGGTACTAATGGATATTTTTGGTCGCTATTGAAAATTTAGTCGATTGCTAAATTAATGTATGGGCCCAAATTAGGCCAACATTACATTCATTTCCCCTACCTAATATATCTATAAAGTTCTTGCAAATTTCTTGGGCACAATAGGAATGACACACAATTTCTTCACTTCGAAAGCGCCTAATGAAAATTGACATCCACAAATTGCTTAATTCATTTGGAGATTTATTGTATCAGCCTGTCTTCACAAGAGCATAATACCAACCGGTGGAAACTAACGATTTTAAATTGGTTCACTACTTAACCAGCCTATTGGTCCCAAGCAAAACGATTAACGCACCCCATTCCAGTCGAAATTCTAGTACTACACTATGTTTGTTTTGATTCGCTATGAAAGTTTGACAGATAAAATAAGGGGTCCGTGGATTTTCCTGTGTTTCGAGGGGTGCATCGATTAGCTTGGGACCGAAGATAGTACCAGAGCTGAGTCAAAAAGTTGAGCACGTTTCTTCGGGACCTACTAGTCTTAGAGTTACCTCTATGATAATACGGCCCAAATGAAATCAAACTGTTTGTATCTGATGCAAGAGGTGGTCACTCTACAAACTTATTTTGTGCCAAAAAAATTCTCAGTGTGTGATCTGACTGATTTTTTTTTGTGAATAATTGTAAGCTTGGCAACCTGGTATTTTAACAATTCAAATGTTTTGTTTTGGTATGTCAAACAGTACAAGCTGTCGAAGACAATGGTCACATCAACGCCAGATCAACAGAATGGGCAGCCCATCAATTGAACATTTTTGATGAAAATGAGAAAAGCAGCTATCCGCTATCAAAGGGCTTCGAATGGGTGATATCAGTTGCTTAGTCATTATGGATCATTCGCATTTGAGAAGCGCTTGATATCATTCAATTGACAATTGACCTACACATAAAGAGAGCTCTGGTCGACATTCCGGCGAAAAATCTAAGCCAACCCGACACCAACCTGACTTCTAACAAACCCCAACCCGATGTTGACCCGACATAAACCCAAAATTGACCCGAAAACAACAAGACATTGCGTCGACATCGACCTTAAATTTGCCTCACATTGATCCGACATCGGGTCGACTTATCTGTTCGGGACCACTTTGTTAGGTTTCTTCAATACTTCACTGTCGTATATCAAATGATAGTGAGTGACTCAATTAACAGTGACGATGAGCTTCGAATGAGAAATGGGCTCTTCAAATTATGGTCACGTGAGAATTCGTTTTCACAGAATTGATTGAATGGTTGTATTGGTTCATCTCTAATCGAATGATATGAAAATTAACAGCACTGACTGCAGCACTCGGATCGGCCCAGTTCCGTCTCCCATATGTCACAGTGCGATGAAGATTTGATCCACGGAGAGTACAGTAAATATTACACGCTGGTGAGCAACATCGAGACTGCACTCATTGAAGATTCTGCAATGGGACATCGAAGACGAGAACGCTGTTATCGAGCACAATTTCCATATCAAACTCATTAACTTCGGATCAACGACGTTCTTACAGTTTACAACTTTTTTCTAGCTTCTATGGCACGACCGAGTACTGCAGTCCGGAAGTGTCGGCAGGCAATCGCTAATCCTGTCCGGAACTGGAAATGTGGGCTCTCGGTGTGACACTGTACGTGTTGATGTTCTTCGAGAAATCATTCGTGGACGTTGAGGAAATCCGGCAATCCTGAAGAAATCTTGCGAATAATAATTATTGGAGTACGTGTTGCTTTTGCTGTTGGACAAGAATCCCAAAACTCGAATCACCATCCAGGAGCTACTGGAAATGGAATGGATGACGCAGGGAATCAATTCGTCACAGTTCAATTTTGTCAAAATCGTCCCATGCTAACCGTACGAAATCAATCCGTAGAAGTGATTCATAGATGCTTATAGCTGCTCCAGCCAGACGGGAATATCCTCGGTTGTTTATTCATACAATATGGCCACAACTCAAAAAAGTAAACCCATTTTTTGGGACCTTCTGGTCTTAAAGTTACTTCCACAGACAAACAGATATAACTTTCATATGTTGTTCATCGCGCACGCATTTAACGGTCAATTTGATTTTCTCTCTTGAAAATTTGGGTAGAAGTAAGTTAGAGTGTATTGTTTACACTGTATTTTTATCGCTGTCAGTTTTTCGAAGGTTGGAAAAAATGGCGTCACCCGAAAAGGAACGTCACAAATTGATTTTGCGCAAGCACCTGGAAACTCTTCTACTCTCTCATCGAGACATCAGAAAACAACTCGGAACCGTGCAGTCAACGGTGAGTCGTGTGATTAAACGTTACTACGAAACTCTGAGCATCGAACGGAAGGAGAAATGTGGTCAGAAAGGATGTTCTATTAGTGATCAGGATCACAAGCGTGTCGTGAAAGCGTTTAAGCGGAATCCCTATGCTTCGGTCAGGGATGTGGCCAAATGTTGAATCTGTCCAAGTCTTTCGTTCAGAGAGGAAAGTCACGGGCCCGGAAACTGTACACCCAGATGCTGTCGAAGCCTCATTGTCTCATCATGGATGATGAGACTTCCCAACAAACAATTGAGAGCTCTTATAAAACACCTGAGTTGATCAAACGTTGAATAATAGCTTCCAGAGTTGAAAAGGATTTAGTTGTATTGCCTTTTTGGTTAAACGCTTCAAAAGCTGCTTGGAGCACTCTTAAATGATTGTTTACGTTCGGTTTACCTATATGCTTTATAAGACCTACGAGAACTTTTATAGCACCTTAGTCAAACCGATTGACAAGAGCTATATAGTACGTGGAATAAATGCATCAAAACAAACCATTGGGAGCTCTTATACAACACCTGAGTTGATCAAACATTGAATAATAGCTTCCAGAGTTGAACAAGAATGTAGTTGTATTGCCTTTTTGGTTAGAAGCTACAAAAGCTGCTTGGAGCACTCTTAAATGATTGTTTACGTTCGGTTTAACTATATGCTTTATAAGACCTACGATAACTTTTATAGCACCTTTGTTAAACTGATTGACAAGAGCTATATAGAACGTGGAATAAATGCATCAAAACAAACCATTGGGAGCTCTTATACAACACCTGAGTTGATCAAACATTGAATAATAGCTTCCAGAGTTGTACAAGAATGTAGTTGTATTGCCATTTGGTTAAAAGCTTCAAAAGCTGCTTGGAGCACTCTTAAATGATTGTTTACGTTCGATCAACCACCAACCACAATTTTGTTGCTAAAAATAGCACAAGTGATAGGCACGTTTATATGACCATAAGGCAATGATTATTCGACTGCAAGAGAAGTCACTCAAGATGAGCTTCATATACTTCTCTCATATGATCAAAATATGTATTCAAGAATAGAGCAGATGGAAACAGAAGCGGCTGGCAATCCGGGATCATGAGTTCGAATCTTGCTTCGAGAAACCCTCGGTGGAGTAGAGGTAAATTATATATAGGTGTTATTAATAAATGCAAACATTAATTTAAGACATATATCATATAATCAACGATAACATTTCTAGATAAATTCTATCAATTAATGATTAGAGAGATTAATTGAAAGAATATCAATCAAAGATTAAACAGATGCTTGTTACTACTGTTAGGAGGTGTCTACAAACGTTGTATTAGAGCTTTCACCAAAACAATAAAGCTTGAGTTTAAATATGTATCTATAAACGTTGTATAAAAGTTGCTTCTACACCTATACCGCGTATACATATAATGCTGTAGTTGAACAGGTTCTCCAAACCAGTGTAAACAAGAGTTTTACAGAAGTTGTAATAAACAAATGGTACAGTTATTATTCGGCATGCAGTTGAATAAAATCACAATGGAAGCGTTTCTTCAAGAAGAAATTGATTTTGGGTAAACGTTTTACTGAATACGTTAGAAAACACTTTTGTGTTGCAGTTGTATAGGTTCTCCAAACCAGTGTAAACAAGGGTTTTATAAAAGTTGTGGTGAACACATTGTGCAATTATTATTCAACATGCAGCTGAACAAAATCAAAACGAAAGCGTTTCTTCAACTGGAAATTGTTACTTGGGTTACGCCAAGGCGGACTTCCGGCAGCTTCCAGGGCTAGTGTTCTTCACCGCCCAGTACAAGTTTGATGTTCCAGAGGAAGTAAGGATGCAGAAAATTTCAAAGTTTACCAAAAAATACATGATTTGGCAAGTGATCTACTCATGTGGCTAACGGATTGCGCCGTTCGTGACTACCGGGACTGTAAACGGGGAGATCTACCTCAAGGAGTGTCTACAGAAGTGTCTGCTTCCTCTGTTGAAGCAACACGAGGGTCGTACGATCTTCTGGCCGGATCTAGCTTCGTGCCACTATTCAAATGTTGTCCTGGAGTGGTACGAAACCAACGGGGTCACTTTCGTACCCAAGGACATGAACCCCCCCCCCCCCACCGGAACTAAGGCCCATCGAAAAATACTGGGCTATTATGAAACAGGCACTACGGAAACATCCCAAGGAGGACAAATCTGAGGAAGACAGAAGAAGCTGCAGACAGATGTTGTACAGAACCTAATGAGTGGAGTTAAGTGTAAGGTTATGGTATTGAAGTTGAATGAAATAAATATGCCAAAAGCTTACAAATGGGTTACCTTTTATTGTCTGGAAGTTTGAAAAGGATCGGTCAACTAGGTAGTTTTCTACAGCGTTTTTTTCCGTGATGCAATTTAATGTGGGACACCCTTTGCTGTTGATATCCATTTCGTTTTGCATGTAGCTTGTTGAAACAATTATCTGAATAGTAATAAAAGTAACAAACTTGCCTTGATTACAAATCTTAGCAACAGCAAGATTGCCCCTTTGACAGCATTAGTACCTAATTATTCGGGACCCTTTTAATACTGCAACAATCCATTTGAGGGATACCAGATAAAACAGCAAAAAAGCCCTTTTTAGGGCCACAAATTAAAAAAAATATAGAGTTAAAATTATAGATCCTGAACAATTCAAAGCATCAAACCGATCAAACCCGACCAATGCGGTCCTACGTCAAGTTTCCGTTCGTGCCCCTAGATGAAAACTCTTCTACTTTTTTTTAGATTTTAACAGATCGGATCGCTGCACATTTGAATCAGCCGTCAGAGATTTTTAAGCAAAAGTGAAGTTCAAGTTTCATGTCGGTTTGTCGGTGGTAATATATTCATAATGATAAAATCAGTGCTAACATTTGAAAACGGCGCAAAAGCCATTAGTAAACAAATGGTTTGTGGGCCCTTTACTCGCTACCCGAAGAACGCCCACGCAAACCAACAGCATCGTCAGGAAGGGGAAAATTTCCCCTACCCGTTGTTGCTGTTGTGTCGCGTGGGTGTACTTCAAGTAGTGAGTAAAGGGCCCACAAACCATTTGTTTACGAATGGCTTTTGTGCCGTTTTCAAATGTTAGCACTGAAATAATGCATCAAACTGAAAAAGGCTCAAGAAATTTATCCCTCCCCCATTCTACTCACCATCGCAACCGCCGCAGGGGACTGTCGGTGCTACCTTTGCTAGTGCTACTGCTATTGTTACTACTGCTACTGCTTCCGCTGGGAACGATCGCTCCCGCCACTGCCAACGTGGCCGGATGTGGATGCAACATGGGATGATGCTGACCTTCCGCTCCCGCCCCTGGCCCACTGACCTGCTGCTGCTGATCCACCGTCGCTGCCCCACCCGCACCATGATGCTGCTGTTGATCTTTGTCTTTCTGTTGGTTTTTCTCCTTCTTGTCGGGAGATTTGAAAAATTTCCTTATCGCTGCCGTTACCTTATCCTTCGACCGTGACGACATTCTTCTGCTGCTGCTGCTGCTGCTATTATTGCACTATTTCACTGATTTCCTTCTGATGGATCGGATGAAGATGGATGGACTGAACTGATGATGTTTGCTGCTGCTTGACCGCAATACCACTCTGCCGTGTCAATGTAGCACTCCCGAAACAAATTGATACTGAAAGCGACCACTTAAACAAATTCGTTTACTCTTTTCCGGCGCCCGACGTTTTTCCTTTTATTTTTATCGTCGCTGCTCCTTCCGTTGGCTGCTGCTGCTGTTTTGGGCGATTTGCTGAGAATCATCTGCCGTTTACCTTGTACGTGGTCCAGGTGCTGGTGGTGAGCTTCCGAGTCCGACCATGCACGGTGTTTATTGGTTTCCCATTTGCTGCCGTTTCACCAACATCGTCGTCAATGGCAGTGTAGATTTTCACTTTCCGCTGTTTGGTCCCTTATATGAAGCAGCAAATCTGTATAGCTATGTATGGCTATGGTTTTTCTCGGCGAGGCGGGATAATAAGCCCACTGAGCGATTGCACGTGCTCGAGAGTTCGGAAGTTCGATCTAATGACGGTGAATTCGTTGTGTTAGCACCTCTCTGCAAAGATAGACCGGAGAAGAATCGAGAAGACGGAAAAAATCAATTTATTTTGCAACTGGATCATCCGCTGGCATGGCCCGCGAAATAGAGAGTGGTTCGTTTTTATTTGTTTTTTTTTTTCAGGATTATCATTCCACGTCAAATTGCATAATGGTTGGGGAAAACTGGCCTTGGCTGCTTAGTAGTAAGGAGTTAGGTTTTTGGTTTTTGCAATATTAAAACGATGAAATGCTCCTTAAACCTTGGACAACTGCTCTTCTACTGCGTCGCTACTCAGATTTACTGTCCAGTTCGTATTTTTTAAGTCAGAGGAGTGGAGTGACGGGCAATCGTCTACAATAAGCTTCTAAGCAGGCATGGCAAATCATTTGCATTCATTTTCCTCTATCTTTTGTACATCAACATAACTCCGTAAAATGATGTACGAAGCTTTTGTAGATTTTAATTTTAGCAAAAACTGTTTGAGAACAACTTAAATCGAACAGAACCCTTAAAAAAAATCCAATAAAAATACAATGATTTTCATTGTCATTGTAACCGGGGGGCGACCCCGGCGTAGTGGTTAACATCCATACCTCTCACGCGAAAGTCACGAGTTCAAATCTCACCCCGGACAAGTCACAAATGACCCAAGAGTGTTAAAGTGGCTATAAAAAAAAAAGTCATTGTAACCATGTTATTTACTGTCAAAACATTGAACATTTTTGTCCATCACCATAAAATCACAACGAAATTCAAGGTTTACAACAATGAAAATCATGGTATTTGAATTTGAACTAACAGTAAAAAAGGGGGGGGGGGGGGGTTGTTAAGCATCTTAACAATCTAAAAAGTGATTTTTTTCTCGAACAAATTTGATCTCATCACACTAATTTTCATTGTTTGAGCATTGTATCGTTAAAAATCGAAATCCATTTTTTTCTCCCGTACAATAATTTAACAATAAATTTTAATGTACTCAAAATTCACCAGTAAAAATCATTGTAATTTCGTTGTTTTATTATAATATTTTTTTTCGGGAACCTACCACTGTTTTCCATTGAATATAAATTACATTCACTGAAAAATACTAACAAGTTCTGCCCGCTCTAGTGCATCATGGATAAGAGATGCAGATTTGGGTTAATGACAAAAGTTGTAGCTAATATCAAAACCTTCTAAAGCTTCATACACCATTTTACGGAATTCTGTTGTTGAAAAGTTAGAGACAAATGAATGTAAATGAATGTAAATGCTTTGCCATGCCTGATTCTAAGGAATAAGCTTCTAAAGAATATGTTTTTAAAGAATAAACATGTAAAGAGTATGGTTCTAAAGGATAAACTTCAAAAGCATAAACTTTTAAAGAATAAGTTTCTAAAGGATAACCTTCTAAGCGACGCCGGTGGTGTAGTGGTAAACATTATTGCCTCTCACCCCAAAGGGCCCGGGTTCAATCCCAGTCGGTGTCGCAGGGATTTTCTGAGGTATAACATCTCTGATCAGGGAAGTAAAGAAGTTGGTCCCCGATCCATGAGTTGTGATAGGTCGATAGGTGGTAGGGGGCAGGTTTGGGAACTGCCTTCCAGGCATCGCACAGTGGCCGAAACTCGGACAAAGCTTCTAAAATTGTTTATTTTTTTTATTTTACAATGAATAAAGTTTGACAATACTTTGAACGTTGCTAAGTCAGCTGATTTTGATGATTTGTATGTTCAAAAACCAAACATTTAAGCACAGACAAACAGACATAACACTCACAATCACATTCATCACAAATAATGTTTTAGTTGGGAATGTGCTTGCATTTGTCATGGTGGCGCCACTGAAGCATTGAGAAAGCCACCAAATTTCGAACTTATCAGTGATGCCAGTTCTTTTTCACGTCTAGTTGGTAGATGTCAGCTCTTGAAAATGATAAGTGGTCAAGGCACCCCACTGGAGACACATACCACATCTGACGAACACAGAAAAAAAGTTGTTGAATATTACATCAAAAGTGCTGCACATTAGTCATTCCATAACTAATATTACGCTGTACGATTAACACAGAATTCGAGAACAAATCATGTTGATGACTGTAATATTATATCAACTTTTACCCCTTTTACCAGCTATTGAAGTTCAATACTTCACCATGAATTTCATTGATTGATACATATTATATATTTTTTGCTCTACACACATTAAAGTTATGAGCAGTGGTAGAAAGGGCACTAATTAGTGATGCATTACCTCGTATAAAAAAAAATTTCCAGCGAAAGAAAAAGCACACTAAACAAACAAAACAAATCCCTAAAAAAAGTCTTAGCTTCTGTGAACTTTTCCTACGGATCCTTTTTTCTGCAGAATTCAATCAATTCTATAGATCTACGGAAAATTTAGTAGAACCGACATTACTGACTTTTATTCAACACAGCTGACGCGTTGACAGAACGAGGGAAAAGCAACTGGTGAAAAAATAACATGAACGAGGGATGCTCTAGTTGCACATCAATGCTTGGGAATGTGGATGATAGATGGTGCTAGTGCACATGCAAAATACGCTTGACGATATTTTTTGAAGAATTTTCTTCTAAGAGTTATGTCTGTTTGTCTGTGATTTAAAGCTCACTTAAAATGCCTGTTACCTGTTCAATTTTGAACCAATTTGATCACAACAGGTTTATTTTGAAGGAGTGTGAAAAACTAATATTCCCATAAAATCGTCGATTGAAGTGACTGTTTACAAAAGCAGATACGTTGATTTGAATAGCTACGCTTGAAATATGTTTAGTGGTATGAAATATCAATATTCTTTTTGTGTATGCATACTGCACAATATTCGAAACAGTTCGAAAGGGTCACATGCCACAGATTCTATGGGAAATCATCTCTATTTTTCAAATTTATGGGTCCCAGTTTGCCACTTGTTGCCCCATTATGTTATTAAACATTAGGTTCCTGAGCTATTCAGTCTAAAAATTAGATATTGCTCCCATTTCATCATTTCTGAATGGATTTTGATGTTGCAGCATCAACAGGAATAATTTTTTTAGGGTCTGGGTAATCTTTGTTAAATATAAAATATATTTAAAAGATTCATGTATGGGGAAATGGCTGGCTCTAATGTTGGCCTATGGATCTAAGATTGGGTCCATCGCTAAAAGTCTGCTATTTATCAATTTTATCTATATGAACGCATCATTGGGACGGTACTAATGGATATTTTTGGTCGCTATTGAAAATTTAGTCGATTGCTGAATTTATTTATGGGCCCAAGTCAGGGGCATTTATGCCGGCATTACATCCATTTCCGCTATTTCTAAGCAATAATTTTAACCCCACGTATTTCTTAAGTATGTTTAATACTCAGCAAGAATTATGATAAACCATTACAAAATTAAAAACTTGAACCAATTCTTGACCCTGACAAATTGAAAGTTATTTCACCTAAATCGGTCAAGAACTGATGAAACGGGAGTAATATCTATTTTTTAGGCAGAATAAGATCGACGGAAAACAAATCAACGAAACAAGAAGAAATTTGTAAAATAAACTTCTAAATAATTATCTTCTTAAGAATAAGCTTCTAAAGAAAAAGCTTCTAAAAGAAACTTCTAAAGAAGAAATTTCTAATAAGCTTCTAAAAATAAATTTCTAATAGGTATCAAGAAAAAAACAATTCAGGCAGTAATCGATAAAAGAACAAGGGACTATTTATTAATTACGTCAATCGTGAAGCAACATTAAAATTAAAAATTAAAAATCACATATCTTATCAAAATTAAACTTGAGCCAAATAATTAATCATTTTGTCAAGCTTCTGCATTCATTTTCCATCAGATGTCACTGCTGTTGTTGGCGGTGACATCTATGGGAAACTACACATAATCTGTTTTCCGTTAATTGTTCACAGAGAACAGTGCAGTGCAAAACATGTCTGGTACTTCTATATATGCATTTAGAGAGTAACATCTGAAATCCCTCCTTTTTTTACACATTCTGCACACAAAATAGCTCACCCCTCACAGGATTTTTTGCCAATTTCTATGAACGGGGCGGGGCAGAAAGTATCTTTTGTGCAGAATATGTAAAAAAGGAGGGACTTCGGATGTTAATCAAAATGCATATATAGCGGTACCAGACATGTTTTGCAGTGTCAGGTACACTGGAGTCGCTTTTTACGCGGTTTTTTTACGCGGTTTTTTTTTACGTGGATTTCGAAATTTACGCGGTTTTTTTTACGCGGATTCCGGAATTTACGCGGTTTTTTTTTACGCGGATTTTGGTTTTTTTTTTACGCGTATATCAGAATTTACGCGGTTTATGATTATACACTAGAGTCGCTTTTTACGCGGTTTTTTTACACGGTCTTTTTTTACGCGGTTTTTTTTACGTGGATTTCGGAATTTACGCGGTTTTTTTACGCGGATTCCGGAATTTACGCGGTTTTTTTTACGCGGTTTTTTTTAGCGACTCCAGTGTACTCTATTTTGTAGTCTGTGAGAGGGAAATGACAAATAGAGTGTCATCAAAATACATGGCATGTTGAGAAATTGAACTAGTGAGAGCAAATTTTCTCTCTTAAAATTGATATTTTTGGCTCTCTGGGGACTGGTAGTAAAGCAGGTAAAACTGTACGGGAAAATATCAATTTTATTAAATTGTAGCTTGTTTAACAAAGGTCCCTGACTAATTTCTTCAGGTTGTCGTTAACTGTTTTGGCCTGAATATGTACCGAAAGCGAATTATTCTCACTTCTCAATTTCTACATGGGGATTTTTATCACTTCCTACCATGGGAACAGTGCCATCTTTGTGGAAAATGTCCGGACGATATGATTAATTATAGATACTCCATTTTCTTGGATGCAGTACCTGAACCTCCTTCCGAATTCTTCCACAAGGTTAATATTATTCATCTTCTCTTGTATCTTTCGAGCAGCAAGAAAAATTCGTCAACTAGCTGTTCGCGCCTGTTGATTGTCACCGAATTCACCTCTTCCTTTATGCACATAAAAATAAGTCCATGGGAGT